AAATTTAAGTTATTATGTAGCCCCGGGAGGTTATTTTTTGTTATAAAAGAAATGCGTATATTTTTTTTAGGATTACCCCGTAAACCCATATGTTTTTGTTTAAACATAAGATATAACTGAAAAAACTTATAGTTTTACTTGTTAATTATTTGCATTATATTATTTTGTACAAAAAAGTTAAAGTTATTTTTATAATAATCTCATTTCTTTTAAAGGATAAAATCTTTTAATTTAGGTTAAAATAAACTTAAGACATTTAACTTTTTTTATAAAAGTGTTATTAAGTTTACCTTTTATATTTAACTATAATTATTACTTTAAATATAAAAACGTATGGAAAACAGTTTATTCATTTTTAAATTTTATATTATATCGCTGTTTATATTCGTTATTTACGCCAAAGATTGTATTACTTTTAAATTAAAGCAATAATGTAATGTTAAAAATGTAAGTAAACTTTAAACCTAAGTATTTTAACATAGTAAACAGGTATGGAAATTAGTTGGCGATATTTCATATCCGTGAAATAAGTATAACATTTTGTTTGAAAACGAATATCAGAAGTTAAACGGGGTGGGACTCGGTTTAATAGAGGCGCTGTTTATATGAAATACTTGGCTAATCCTGTAGGAATAAGATTTGTTTAACAGTGCGGGTTATCCCGAGTCGTGATCCGTTTTACATCTCATAGAGGTTCATGACATTAGCATTATATAATCTCAGCCTCAATATTACTCCGTAAACAAGTAGTATTCCAGTATTATGTCTTATTAATGACGAACACAGCGGCAAGTAAAACGACTCCTGGTTGTCATGAGACCTGCAGAGAATTCTTAAAGTCGGTTTCTGAACTCCCGCTCCAACTATGACGGTCATGCCGTTTGCGTAATATCAATACTAGAGTCTGATTGGCCATCTTTGAGACAGCCAATCAGTAATCCTCTTGTGAGGTAATCTGTAATATCCGAATTTAATCTCCAGGGTCCAAGTTACGTCATAAACGCATGACGTAATGACGCCGAGGAGATATATTATAAACAAAGATGGTGTCAATAATGTCAGTAATCACTTTTGGCCGTTGAAATGAGACTCAAAACAAATAATTAGGGGTGAAGGCAGTTCAGATTATACTAAGCACAAAGTATGTTATTGCTGAACGTTCTAAGCAGCGTCGTTCGCAAGTCTGGTGGACCAAGGCCGAACCGCGGGGAGAGATACTAATTAGAGGATATGAGATGTGTAACCTTAAGCCTGCTTTCCAAAGGGCCAAAGCAACATATGTACTTTAGCGATGTGGGATTTTACGCTCTCCGGGTCTCTACACGTGCGTGGATACCTATCGTGTCTACGTTTGGTCCTACCAAGTGTTGGAGACGCCGAAAAACCGGCTCGACCGTAGCCTTTACTAAAAGGACTAAGGGCCTGCACTAGGGAGGAGCATTTCTTCCCTTTGGGTCTGGACTACCGACTTCTAATTTGCAGATAAGACCCATCTCGTAGGTACTTAGGCAGGACTACATTTTATTGATGATGGCGCCTATGACGGTTTGGTCGCTGACCCGGCTCGACCCGTAACCAATAGGCAATGTTTGCTACTGTAACCAATCTGGAGAGGTGAGATCTGACTGACGTATGCGGACCTCCCCCGCGCGAGACTAGCTGATACTACACCACCGAGGATCAGCATGAATATATCAATAAAAGAGAAAGGTCAAGAATCCTAATGATGTACGAGATGCTACGGAATGGAAGGTATGGAGCACATCGAAGTTGAAGGGGTAATAGTGTCGTTTCAAGGAATGTCGCACAACAGCTGCATTATTGAGCTGGTTTCGGTCAGTAAAAACGTATTTAGGATAGATATATTTATTTTAAATAATAAATAGTTGTATTAGTACCTAAGTGAAAGATGTTTTGGAGCCTAAGGTTCCTTTGTTGGTTAGTTAGTCGTACCGAATACACGAGATTTGCCTTTTTATGAGGCTCTAAGGCTGAGGATGACCAAGGCTGAACGGGACAAGAACTTGTAAAGATTGACGCCGATAATTTCGATATGAAATAGCCTTGCAGATAGTAATCAACCTGTTAAAATTTAAATCGATGCGGAATCGGACGCTAGAATGTAAAGCCCGTCAGCTATATTGAAGCGTTTGAGTCGTCATTGGCCCAACATTAGATCTGCCAAGAGAAGTGTAACGAATGGGAATAGAGTGGACGGTTGGTCTGGGGGAGCCGATGATGATTTTGGGTCTTTCTTACTTAGGTCACGTCACGAGGTAATTGGTCCTGCAAGGCAAATTCCCAGAAAAGTAGTGGAGAATTTCAAAGCGAAATTCAGAGCATAAGTGGGGTGGGTTGAGAAATGACGATGGCTCATACGTCATGAAGCATTTGTTTTCGTCCCTGGTCCCCAATATGAAAGAGTCATGGATTGTGATAGAACCACAGATCAAATGGGGTTGCAAGATATAGGTACCCTCGGAAACTTATCTTTTCTAATAAAAAATTCCAAAACAAAAGAGAAAGCCATGATTTTTTTTCTTCGATTGTCTTATTTCGTATTTAAATACTTTCGCATTTATACTTGTAGCCGGATTGGTTTATACATTAAGATAAGCTCTTGCACTACTGCGTAACCATGCATAGCAGAATCACGTTGTGCCAAGGCTGATGAATGAATCGGGCTAGGTACCGAATCAAAGAGAACGATACATGTAGGTACAAGTACCTAGTACATACATGAGTTGGGCACTTCTGTCCAGGCAATTTTTAGTAGATACATGTTCTAGTTAGATGAGAGATGAGGTTCTATTTCGGGTGGGAATTGGGTATACGATAGATAAATGTGACTGAAGCCTCCTATGCCACGTATTTACTTGAAGCCGCCACTCGGTAGCTAGCGAGGCTTATTCGATCTTGATCTAGGACATGGAGGATAGAAAGGCCGCATTATCGCGCTCTCTTAACGAATAAAAGCTGATATCCGCCACCCTACCCTACCACCACAAGAGGTACACGCCTTCAACGAAAATACATAAGGCACAGGAACTCCTCCCCACATATGTAGGAAAGTTATCAACCAGGATACCACGTACTGTGGGATATGCTATTATGGGCAGATAAATGTTACGGTATATCGGTCGTTAATTGCCCACCTTAAGTTGCAGGCGCCGTCTTGGCTGCGAATTGCAAGTTTGTTTCCTGGTGATACCATACTCAATCTCCGATTCTGACTGAAGTGGTGATGAAAGGTGTTATGCACTGGTACTGCGCCTATCTGTATTTAGCTATCTGAAGATGGATATGCCGTGAGACCTTCCGGAATTCGACTGGATATAATTGACAGTGCTTGCATGCATGATGTAGATATCTAATTGTCGTTTCTGGTAGATTGGCAGGTAAAATTCTTTGGGACATTTACGTCTGATGTCTTGTTGTATTGGATTAGATGTAGGCACATGCAGTGTACAAATGACTAGGTACATATATGTACATACATGTACATGGTCCCCGCATGGCTAGTTTAACCTCATTCGTCGCTTTGTCCTACCTCGTGCCAGATTAAGAAATGTTGGACAGTTAGCTTGCCCGCTCTCTTGTATTAACATGGTAACATGCACCCTTTGTCTCTCGTAGCTGGGTCTCGAACAGGTTTTGTCAGCACCTGAAGTAAATTGCCCGACTTGCAACCTGGGTTTTTACCAAATTCCAGATTGTCGGCGCCGTATTTGTTAGAAAGCCCTCCCGTGGCGAAAACAGGGCATTCATTACCAACTTAGTACAATACGGCGCATATGCGCATGTTAGACCCAGTACAAATGCAATACGTAGCCTATTGTATGTATATTATAGGTACTTTAGGTACCCACTACATGTACTAAGGGTCAAATATTTAGTACCCTTGCACCCCATACGGATCCCCCCTAGGTACCTAACAGTAAGATTGGAAAGCAATTGAAAAGTTAGGTACGTCTAGGTACGCTACGGCACACTAGCCCACTACATCATCAGGCGACATCGATCTCGGATACAAGCACTGCTTGTAGCACTAAACAAGGCCCATAACCATGTAAGTGTACGTAGTGGTTCTCGATGTCACCGTTTAACCATTTGCGCAGTCGTCAATCGTCATTTCTCCCACCTTTTTTTCTTCCTTCTTTGATAATTCTTTCCCACCCCAGAGCACAACGTCGGGTCAACTCTACTACTGCACCACCACTTTTTGGGTCACATATCTTTATTTTTTTCTATTCTTACACGGGGAATTTTTAGATCTTGTGTTTTTAACCTGACTATACCTATACTATAACCTTTACTTTTAGACAAATCCCTAAGAGAACGACTCTATTTCTGTCCTATCTACCTAGCATTGAGAAAGACATTGCAGACATTGCAGACATTGGAGGATTCATATCCGCACGATAGAAATCTTGTGACTTGCATTACAGCGAAAGAGAAGATAGCAAATTCTACGTCTTGCAGCGTACTCCCCGCCGAACCTAACTTTACATACTTTTGTTACAAATCAAGAGCAATCCAACTACAGTTCAAATACCAGGTTTCCCAACCCAAGCCCGAGTCCGTCCTCATTTTGAATTTTAAGGATCGCACATAGGCGTAGGTTAGGTACATTACCGAAAGCAAAGAACCGCCAACTAAAACATCGCTATTTCGGCAGCCTCCCGCTATTCGCCATCTTATTGCTCGCCCTGCCTGCACTGGTTATCCTGACCTTTTTTAAAAAAAAGAGCGGACCTGACCAATTCCCGGACGGCACCTGTTTCTGCAGTTTCTGCATCTAAGTTTGTTTGGTTCGAATTTGAAATAACCCGTGGGCTTGGAACCAGTGGCGCTTCCGGGAGTTTTTATTTTTGTCTCGCATAGGAGAGACGAGACACGAGACACGGAGAGTGGAAGTGTGGAAAGTGGAAAGAGAAAAAAAGCCTAAGGTGCATTTTGGGTGTGACATCTAGTAACCAAAAATGTCTACTATCCAGCAGCTTAAGAATTTCATCCGCCATGGTACGCCCCTCCGTTGTCCACCCCTCTATCGTTCCCTGCTCTGCCTACCTTGTCTACCACACATTTCCTTTGGTGTGTTTTTGTTTCTTCTCCCTCACACAAACGAATAATTATCCCATTCCTTTTTTTTCTTCTACTTGAAACTCATTCGTTTTTTACTTGTTTACTTCGTGACTATCTTTCCAAAATTCCCTATTTGATCCACACTTTCATATACCTTAGTCGACTTTACGGCAATTTTGCAACAACCTTGCAACAACCGCATTTTGGCACATGTCCCGCTGATATCATATTCTTTGAACAGGCAAACAGGCTAGGGTAACCAACTACGAAGAACCCTCGCGGAAACATGAATATTCTCCCCCGCAACCTGCGCAACAAAAAACCATGGGCCACGTAAGCGAGCCCGGACACACGGCCGGCAACGGTCATCGGAACAACATCCCCGAGACCTACTCCGCTCAGCCCGGTGATATACAGAATCAAAACCGTGTCGCACAAGCCGATGCCGCCGCCGCCCACCATGCCGAGGTCAACCAGAACATCTCCGGAACACATTCGAACAAGAGCAAAAGCAGAGTAGACGATACCCACGCCGCTAAAATCGTACAAGAGGAAAACGAGAATAGGAATAAGTTTCCCAGGTATCCCGGTCTAGAGAGGTGGGAGCTGCTTGAGAAGATGGGAGACGGGGCGTTCAGTAATGTCTACCGAGCAAAAGACCTCGAACAGAATGCTGGTGAGGTTGCCATCAAGGTCGTCCGAAAATTTGAAATGAACAACATGCAGGTGAGTTTCTCTGGCGGTTGAGTTTGCGTCGTCAACCTTGTCGTTTCCTCTTTCAGGTTGCAACTTGCGTTTCCATTTCCAGCAAATTTGAATGTTTCCTGTACCAACTATTGGGGGTCGAATTATAGGGCCATAAACATCTACATCCGGATTTCAAGAAGGTTCCGAAGGCAGCAGAGGTGCGGAGATATTCTTTTTCTTTTGTCCAACTTAACAGATATGCCGTCTGGCTACCTCTAATCCGTCTTCTTACATCCGTGGCGTTTCTACACATTTTTTCTTATCTCTCTTCCGTCTATCATCTATCGTTTCTCGTCTATCGCATCATACTCTACAAAAATCCAAATCTGGGGACTAGTAAAGCTAACGATCCATCACAGCGAGCAAATATATTAAAGGAGGTTCAAATCATGCGCCAGCTGGACCACCCTCATATCATCAAACTGGTCGACTTTTCGGAGTCAAAGCAATATTATTATATAATCTTGGAGCTAGCACCTGGTGGAGAGTTATTCCATCAGATTGTGCGACTCACCTATTTCAGCGAAGATCTCTCAAGACACGTTATCGTGCAAGTCGCAAAAGCCCTCGAGTACCTTCACGAGGAGAAGGGTGTCGTACATCGGTAAGTAAACAACATGGAGTCGATCGACCGTGAGCCTCAAACCCACTTCGTGATGGCACGACTCAGCTACCCCGTCTAAGGGTGCATTGAGGCGGCTAAATCAGGTGGCGGTGACGTCACTAGACATCCTAATCTTCGGCCCCTGCATCAGCCAGCTGACATGTGAGACAATAGTGACATCAAACCTGAAAACATCTTATTCAGTCCGATACCACTCGTCCCATCGAAAAAACCCACGCCAAAACAACCTGGCGATGAAGATAAAGTGGATGAAGGCGAATTCGTCAAGGGAGTCGGAGCAGGAGGAATCGGCAAGATCAAGATCGCTGATTTCGGTCTGTCGAAGGTTGTATGGGATGACCAAACCATGACGCCATGTGGCACTGTTGGTTATACAGCCCCTGAGATAGTCAAGGATGAGCGTTACTCCAAGTCGGTGGATATGTGGGCCCTCGGCTGCGTATTATATACATTATTATGCGGTTTCCCACCATTCTACGACGAAAGTATCGAGGTGCTTACGGAAAAGGTTGCAAAGGGGCAATATACTTTTCTATCACCATGGTGGGACGAAATCTCCAAATCTGCTCAAGATTTAATCACGCATCTTCTTTGCGTCGACCCTGACGAGCGGTATTCGATCAATGAATTCTTGAGCCATCCGTGGGTACAAGGATCCGGACCTACACCTCGTGAGGAAAAGAAGGCGAATGCAGAAGTGTTACGCGCATTCGACGCCGGACGACTCATCGATGGCGAGCGCCGCATGGACTTCAGGTCGCCAGGTGCGGTAAACCTCCGAGAGATTTTCGATGTCGGATACTCGGTACATCGGCAAGAAGAAGAGGCCAAGCGGAGAAAGCAGATCGGCGTCAAGGGTGCTGCACCGTCGCGATTGGCTGGTCTTGACGAAGATTCGGAGGAGGAGGAATCGGACCCAGAATATGTGCATAAAGCCGAGTCGCAATCGCTTGAGCAGAGCATGCGTAAGACGCATATTGGTAAGGAGCAAGAACGTGGCCGACGGCAGGAACGACAATCCGATAGAGAACAAAAAGGATATGGTCAACATAGCGCCGCCGTCGCGCAAGCCGCTCGGCAGCAGGTTCGTGATCGAAATAAGCAGCGAGGAGCTTTCGAACTCAATCTAGATGGGGCGACGTTACTTGGTAGACGAGCCGCAAAACCTGCAACCGCTAGCGTTGGTGGCTTATAGGGCAAGACAGCTGACAAGCAGGAAGTTGATACTGAGGAGAAACATGATCACGACGGTTGTTGTTGGCATTGACTTATTGATTCTAAGAACATCTGGGCCGAGTTTCTGAGACGAGCGCGGAGAACGGATTTCGGAGGCATCGAGGCATGTGATATTGGTTTAAATGAGCAACACGGGGAGTTCTTGTGGCTTTTTGTCTTTTTGCAACATTGATCCGCAGCGCTTCACACATAGGACTAGGCGTTCCCGGAATCGAGATACATATTTCGCCCTTTTCAATTGACGGTGCTTCGATGTGAATAAAATTAAGTTGTCCCTACATTCCTCGTGATGATAAATTTGGCCTGGCTGTTTACGGTATTGGTTTTCCAATCCTACATGTTGCTATAGCTGTCTCCCTTGGTAGTATATTGGCGGCGCATCGCCGTCCCCAGCATTTCTTGATTAAATTTGAGACACTGCGGTCCTTCGGTGCAGTAAAGGAGTAGCGACTGCAACCAATTTCAGTATTTAGTCCCCGAATTGCTCGGTCTGCCCTCGCTAGGGATTACCAGGAACTAGAACCATTTTTACCAATGGAGTGACTTCTGTGATTTCTATATGGTCTAATATGAGCTGTATAAGAAGCTGTCGATTATCCGCCATCTCCAGCTCTCAATTCATAGGATCACACACCCCTACCCTAACGTCTTCTGCGACAGAGCATTTAATAAGTAATACGCAATCGTATGGGCGACTATATTCCGTGACTATCATATAATATTTAAACCTCTATACTTCTATTTTCTACGTTTCCTCCCAGTATTTTGTATACATACGTACCCTTAGTTTAATCCTATACGCCCACACACCTCTATATCTTTCGACATCCCCATCAAAGCTCTATATTAAACAAGCTAAACCGAACGGTTAATCCATAAATATAATAATCCGATGGACACCATGGGGAATTCCCTAGCGCAATTGGGGGTCCAGTACATACCGTCAACTGGGGGCTGTATGCTGGACTTGGCCGCCATACCCTCCCACATATTCAACTCTTGCAGCGCTGTTCACATCCGCATCCCAGAAGCTCAGCACCACGTCGAGGTTAACTCGAACATGATCTGCATTAAGCCCAGCCAGCCAGCCGGCTCCAGGCCCAGGCGCTGCCATCTATCGTGAACAGTACATGTATCCGAACGTGGTGGTACCAACAGATCTCCCTTATGCATCGCCGAAGAACCACCACAAGCAACTGCTGCCTTCATTTAATGCCCCAGAAAACCCCGTACATCACCCTTTACCAGAGCCGGATAACAGTAAACCCGCGAGCCTTGATACACCGAATGATTCTCATAAAGACTCGGCGCCGAGTTTACGGACGTTTGTGCAGACGACACGTTGGTCTACTGTAACTACTACGCATACCGATTCGCTATCTCCCCAGGTTACGCATGTCTTACAATCACCGACTGTAACAACTACTTCCTGCACTACCCACCTCCACACCCCCGGGCCTTCAACAACAACAACAACACCTGTAGTCCACGCCCCCACGCCATCTACACTAACAACACGAACCCTACTCCCATCATCACCACCATCCCAAGAATCCCCCACCCCCACCTCCCAACCAGCCCGCCCCGCCGTCATACCCCCACCATTCCCCCTTCCGGAACCAGAACCAGTCCCGGAAGTGGGCCCGGGCCCGGACCCAATCCCAATCCCAATCCCAATCCCGGATCCGGATCCGGAACTCGACAGCACCCCGGAGTACTGCGGCGACACGTACTACAAAATAGACGTCACACACATCGATGGAAACCCTCGACCCGCACGACCTCGCCGCGTACCTCAACCTCCTGGACCTAGGCGATCTAGGTCTAGAACTAGACCTCGACCTCGAGCACGGAATCGCGGGGCTGGTAGCGTCGCTGCTCGGCGGCGCGGTCGACGACGACGACGACGACTCGACGACGCGCGGGGTATGGCGGGAGTTGGAGCGGTCGTATCGTGTTAGGTGTGGGGTTTCGGTGCAGGAGCTGTGGAGTTGGAGTAGGAGTAGGAGTAGTAGTAGTAGTAGTAGTAGGAGTAGTAGTAGTGGTGGTGGTGGTGGTGGTGGTGGTAGTAAGGGGGAACACGTGGAATTCGTGCGGTCGATGGGCTCGCAGATGGGGTGTGTGCAGGAGTGCGAGAGGAGGGCTATTGGGGCGGCGCGGGACGGGGATGTGGCGGAGTGTTTGGGGGCGGCGTGGAGTGGGAGGTTGGAGAGGGGAAATTGTCGGTTTTGGACGGGGGGGAGGGATGAGGTTTTGCCGGTGGGGAGGTTGAAGGGGGGGAGAGGGGGGAGTGGGATTTGGTGTATTTGTAGGGGGGAGACTGGGATGCAGGTATGTGTGATGGTGTGTGATGGTGTGGTTTGGGTTATGGATTGGGAGAAGCGTGGTGTTTTGGGTATGATGTTTCTAATATGTTTTTATAATACTGGATTTCGATGAAGACTTACTAGATAATAAATCGTAGTACTGTCTCACTCGCTGTATTAAAGGGGATGGTGTTTCTCGAGGATCTGATTGAGTGATGGGTCTCACTTTAGGAGATGAGGAAATGAATAGATGATAGCAAAGATTTGGAATAACAACATACGAACTTGGAGTTAGTAACATGAACTAAGCTTAAGTTATGAATTATAAAGATCTTTATTATATGGAATCTTCGATTTTTCACTTTCTTCGCCTCTACGATATCTCCTGTCTGTCTGTTGGTATTATACAGTAGGACAGCTAGCCAAAACCCCAACCCAGAGGTATCCACCCCCTCATCTCGCCAACCAACCTTACCCATGCGTCGGCGGCGGGCCAGCCACAGCCCAAAAGTCAAAGTCAGGATTATCGTACCCCCCGCCCTCCTTCCAAGTCGACGCATACGGGGCATAATGATCCCAGTCCGACGAAGTATTCAGCCCGAGCTCGGCCCAGACGAGCAGCCCGTCTTCCAGCTCGTTGCCCAGCGAGACGTAGTTCGGGAACGGGTCGTACTCGGACGTCGCGGCGTACCCGGTAAACCAGTCCTCGAGGTTACTCGTGTGCGGGATGGGGTTGGTTGGTGTTGTACGGCGCGGCAGCCTCGATGGTATCGCACAGCGTCTGGTCGAAGAATAACTGCGACAGGTACGCTACGCGTCCCCGGCTATATGTCCCGTTAGGCAAGATCTCGGAGCCGACATGCGCGATCAAGTGCTGGTGCGTGGCGCGCCCTTGGTAGTGGCCCGGGAAGATAGTATCGAAGTTAACGACGCCGTCCTCGTCGACCGGCTGCACGCCCCGCAGATACGTAGTCCCTAGGCCGCCTTCGCCTTTCGCGCTGACGCCGCTGTATGCGCCCGTCGCGTTGCACGACCACGTGTCGATTAGCACGCCGACGACCGGCTCGCAGGTATGCACGTCGATGAATTGCAGCTCGAGGTGTATGGGCACGCCGACCGTGTCCTCTGCTTACGTCTGTGCGGATGTGCTCCTGGTACACGAAGTACATACGGCCCGTTGGCATTGTCCGGGGTCAAGACGCAGCTGGTGTTGGCGCCGAAGATGTCTTTGTTGGGGGTGTCCTTGGTGAAGTCTGATGTCCCGGTCTTGTTGTGCGATAGAGCGGCCCATTTCTCGAATGCCGCGGCGTCGCGGCGGTGGAGCCCTGGTGCTGTGGTTGGGGGTTAGTTGCGGTGAGGCAAGTATAGGGGGGAGGGGGAGGGTGCTGCGGGAAGTGTGCTTACCTTTTTCAATGCCCTTATCGCGACGAAGCTGTGCGAATTTCTCTGCTCGTCGAGCGACTGGAGTAATTTGAGTTAGCATTTGTTGCCTCTTTAAGGACTCAGGGGTAGATAGGTTCTGTTCTCTGGACCATAATTTCGAACAGACGAAGAAGGTATACGTGCACAATAGTATAAAATGTCGAATAGGATTTCTAGAGGATACATACTAGCACGCTCCTTACGAGCTTTCACCGCGGGCGAGTTCTGACACGCCTCGAGAGCCCTGGCGTTCATCTTGTTGACGACGTGGGCATTACCCATCTCCTCCAAGGCCTCTCGCTTTCCGTACTTCTCCCCCGGGTGTCCGAAGACCGCCATGGGGGTTAACGACAAGGCCATGGCCAGGGTGGCTGCGATCGAGGGTACTAACACCATTGCGAACCTGATTTTTTCAAGACAAGCTTGACAGAATCTGAGTACGGAGAAGAAACCCAGGCTTCCTACGAGCAGAATATAGGAGCCACCCCCCCTTTTTAGCCACCAACCCCTAAAGCACGAAGCTCTTCAACGGGACATGCTGAGTTCGTCAGCGTTATTTGGTATTTCTCCATTAAGACCGCCAAGAAACGCCGTCACGGCAGACATAGTCGACCACGGCAGCGACGCCGGCAGTAGGACGTCGAAAGAAGGGTCTAATTTAGTAAGGGGGATATGAATCGAGCTATAAGACCCCGCAAAAAAAAAAAAAAAAAAAAAAAAAACCACATATCGACAGCTCTAGTTCTCCCTGGGCCTTGAAGAAGCAAAGGCGGTTTTGCGCCATCCAGTATTTTTTTTATTTCTTTTTATGTTGGCCCTGTTTATCCGGTCTTGGACGCCGTGCGCTCTACCAGATGAAATAGGTAATCGCGCGACGATCCCCTACCGACTAACTCTAGGCGGACAGGGGCTGAGTTCGAAAATCGCCAGACTTTGTGAATGAGGCTAAATCCACCGCCTTTCAAAAGTGAATCCCCTTGATAGGTCCATCTGCACCCCGGACTCGTCTATACCCCAGATATTGCGCTCGCTTCAAGTCCCGTCTTCGACGCCAATGGGCGGGCGTGTATCATATTAAGCTTCACATGCGTGGCTCGCCCTGGGGGTTCGATTGCGAATTACGACGGTCTTCATTGGACGGATCCCGGGGTCGTGGTATGGCGGGTAGGACAAGGCAGATGCCGCGTTCGCGAGAACGGGTGTCGGCATCGAGTCACGTTTTATGCGTCTTCTGCGGACTTCCTAACTAGTACCTATCATTTGCCTGTGTATCTACCTACCTACCTACCTAACCCATACATATCTCGTGGTGGTCGGCTCGTTCTTGGCCCCGTGTCATTTGAGAAATTGATCTTCATCTACAATTCAAAATCCGCCCAAACGTATATAACCAGCACATTGCCATAATCACGACGCTTCGATCAGGCTAAATATGCTGTGTTTTGTTAACGCAATAATTTACCTTTGGACGGCTTAAGTTCGATCGACTTTATCACGACTCAACCATGAGTCTTTTTTGATTGTGTCCATTTTGGAGCCGTTACAGCCGCGGATGTAGTGGACTGATTATGGGTTCGGTAAGGTTTTATACAGTATACCTAAGTACCTAATGTATTCAAGTTACACTGACCTCATAAGGAAATGTTCAGTGTTGTTATACTAATCGAGTCAAAATCTAGGGCTGAGTTAAGCTTATCAGGCAAAAGGAGACAGTAATTTTTATTTCGAAAAGCCAAGAGTTATATTACTATGTACTACCCATTCGAAAGTGGTTTCCACTACTAGAATCACATGTTTACACATGATGAGTTCCATGTAACTAACCCCGATATCCAAAGCGTTGAGGGCTGCTCAGCAAAGCCATAATTATCAATGCGAGATAATTAAGCCTCCTTATTTGCCGTCTTTGCCCCCACAATTATGTTAGGTAGATCGATAGTTTAAGCACCGTTACCGTTGTAGATGACGGCGTTGACAGTGCCGCTGGGGATGCCAGTCAGCTTGCCACTGGTGTAGAGAGCCTTGATGCGGCTGGTGACGGCGGCGGGGGTGGTAAGACCCTCGAGGGCAATCAGGTACAGAGAAAGACCAGTCACGTGGGGAGTGGCCATCGATGTACCAGAGATGGTGTTGGTGGCAGTGTCTCCGCCGATCCACGAGGAGAGGACGTCGGTGCCGGGAGCGAAAACATCGACAACAGATCCGTAGTTGGAGTAGCTGGCAATACTCCAGGAGGAGTCGATGGCACCGACAGTGATGGCGTTGGCAGCCGAGGCGGGCGAGGTACTGCCAGCGTCGGTGGCGCTGTTACCGGCGGCGACGACAGACAGGACACCAGAGCTGTAAGCGGAGTTGACAGCGCTGTTGAATGCAGAAGAGAAACCACCACCTAGGGACAGGCTGATAGCGGACTTGCTCTCGCGACCATTGCTGGTGATGTCGTTGACAGCCCAGCTGTACCCGTCCAAGATGATCGAAGTGGAGCTGCTAGTTCCCTGGAAGACCTTGACGGAGAAGATGGTAGTTTGTTTGGCAACACCGTAGGTCGATCCTCCAATTGTGCCTGCTACGTGGGTACCATGTCCCACAGCGTCAGCATCGCTGCCACCGACGGCGTTGTAAGCGAGCGAAGCACGGCCGCCGAATTGCTGGTGTGTAGCGAGGATACCAGTGTCGATAATGTAGGCAAAGGTGCCCTGTCCGGCGCTGCTGTCGTAGATATACGAGGTAGAGCCGGAGGTTTTGTGGGAGACGGTACCAAGACCCCAGGTAGAGCCGGTCTGGGTAGTGAGAGCTCGCTTGGAAGCCTCAGGGGACTCGTCAAAGAGGTAGTAGACCTGGTCCTCTTCAATCTCGGCGACCTGATATAAGTGTTAGCATATCTGCAACCGAATATATGGTCTGAGGCGTTAAGCGCGCGCTAAAGTGGATTACCAGGGGACGACACAACTGTCTCCCTTTCTGATGTTTCCAGACTTGCCGCTGCATTTAAAGTAGATGAGAATGCTATTCAACTTACATCGGGGTGGCTCTTGATCTGCTCGATGGTCTCGGCGTCGAATTCACCGGCGTAGGCGTTGAACTTGGCGATCTGGTACTCGCGCTCAACACCGGCGGTGTCGCGCTTGTTCAAGCTGCGGGCGTGGACGCTGCGGGCCCAGTTGACGTGAGACTTGAAGTCATCGGAGGTAACGCCCTCCTTGAGGGTAACGATGTACTTGTTGGGGATGATTTCTCCCTTCTGCTGGGTAGCAGGAGTAGGAGCAGCAACGGCCGCAGGGAGCAGAGCTCCGAGGAAGAGCGCGAGGCGGCGAACGTTAAACATTGTGGACGATCTGTGTAGCTGATGAGAAGACTGTTGCTTGTGGCTCGGGGCTGTTGAACTTCTCTAAAACCTACTAGACGGGAGGGATCAAAGCGGTTTATATAGGCATTTCTGAAGCCTCTTCAAATCCAAAAACCGCCATCGATGGTGACATATTGTATGCTTCATTACGAGATGGTCCGATGAGGTTCTCGAGGTAGGCAGACTATCATCGAGCTTCCCAATGAGCCTTAGGAGCCAGACTAGAGCGCTTAAGAGACGTGGATGAGAGTCACGACGCGATTCAAAATACGGAAGGAGGAATAGGAAACGCATGCGGGCAAAGTCATAAAGCACGTGTAAGTGGTGGCTAAAGATTATTAAGAAGCTATACTCCGCGGTTACGATTCGACTCATCGTTCAATAATAGAATGTGGGAGAAGGCCGAACAGGCAGGAAATCACTTGGCAATGTAACTTCGATGTCGGATGGTGAAGCTGAAAGCAGACCAGCAGGCGAAGTATTGCGGGACAAGATGCAAGCGAGGCCAGCGGCATTCATAGTTAGACCGAGGTGCGGTTGCTCTGAAGCTATGCGGTGGTGTGATAGACATTAGGTAGACCTCCCGCTATATCGCTACATCGCTCCAGAAGACGTCAGCCGCATAACCGTGCCGGATCGGCAGGGACCTGCGTGCTTCCCCGGTGCTCTGTTTAAGCCAGCCCTATACCAGCTATGCTAGGTAAAGATCACCTAGAGATAGCATCCCACTGGGGCTCACGCCGGTAGATTATAGAATAATCTGCGCTGTTACAGGTCGGGAATTAATCGCGAGGCATGACATAGAGCGCTCTGCGATTTAGAAGTTCAGCACGACACTGGTACCAAGCCCCTGAGTTCTGAAGGATTGGGTTTCCCTCAACCTTGGTTCTTGGACGTTCTTGGACGTTCATACAGCTGCTTGAACAACCTGGGCCTTGGGTAGCATCAGATAAGGAGACTAGAATCAATATTACGAACGACGTATAGTCAAGCCGTCAAGTAGGACACTCATCCAATGAGAAGCTATGAACCACGCGCTTAAGGTCTTATCAGGACAGGGCGGGGCTGAGATGGGATGCCAACTCAATCTTGGCAATATAATCTTGGCAATATAATCTTGGCAATATAATCTTGGAGGAAGGCCAACCTCTGAGGAAGTTCGTAAAAAGCAGCTACTAGGGTAGCGCCGGCAAACGACTTGGACGGCGAGGATAGCTCGGGAGTTGGAGCTAGGATACTAGGGATAACAGGCATAGCAGGCATAGCAGGCGTAGTACGATCGGAGATTTAGGTCTGTTAGACATATCTGAGTGATCTGAGAGCGCCAAGGCTGAGCGGGCGCGGACGGGGTCCATGCTACCCTCTTACAAATGGAGCGATGTAACGCGGGCTAGGCTTGTCTGAACTTCAGAGCTTCCGTTTTCGTAATGCGACCCCCGACGGAGACGCATCACGTTCATCACGACAGAATGGCGCGAATAGGTGAGGCCTGTTACCTTACCGCCTACCCATGATGACATCGTGACACATGAGGATTGCGACAGCGCGGGAGGCCGTGCAGGACAGAGGTGCTTATAAGTTCTGGGGGAGTTTTCTCGTAATGAAAATCATTGTCTTCCCCGGTCCTCAGGGTTCGCTAGGGTTCGCAGCACCGATGCGATGCGATGCCACATCAGTCGGAAATGCCGGTCATGTAAACTAGGACTACCGATTCTGCTAACGCCGGGGTGGAGCCGGGCACGCGACTCTGCTTGTAATTTGTTGCTTACATCTAGCTTACATTTGATGAGGAGATGAGGATATAAACATGGTGTAATCAATATATGCGATGGTGAAAGTTGAACAGTATGAGAAAGTTTGGATGAAGAGGTCAGACGAATAATTTGTTGGTGCAAGTTAATTTACGTTTTCAAACACGTGCTGATTTCAATCAATATCTAATGTCTAACGGGTAGGTCAATATACTCTGTATATACATATATTCATACATATGAAGGAGGAGCTTCGGAGTTTTGAACTTATTTGCAGTTAAGAGTCAATATCTACCAAAGACATACTCCTCTTACTTGACAATTACGATGGGGGCCAATGCCGTCCTACCACACCGGCATTGGTCAAACGCGTTAAAGCTTTTAATTATCAGACCCCGCAATTGCCGAACCCAGGTGTCATGGTCACATGACATGTAGAAGTATAAATACATCATGTAGCTTAGTGATCCACATTAGAAAGTCTACAATACAACTTCATTACAATCATTGTGACACCAGGATTTCCACTGTGTCGTCTTAAATACGATTAACACGTGACATTGACTACAGTTTTCATACAAAGCTATCAATTGAAACTAACTAACTACCTTAACTACCTAAACTTCAATTCAAACTTCAAATGGTATTCTTTTTATGTGAACCATAACAAGGCCAATACTTCGTTGTAAAGCTGTTATTATCCCAGCAGGCCATGGACGTGTCGCCTTGTAATATCAACCCACAACAACTTACTCTACAGACATATTTCAAAACGCGTGGAGGCGATATAAGTGCAGCTCATTCGTCAACAAATGCATCGAAGGATTCATGCAGTGCACTTACAACGTAACACAGATTTCTCTATGTATGATGATGATGATGAGAACGTTAACGTCTATTTGGTTGCTATAGCTAGGTAACTACAGCGGCGCATCTATGTCGCTTTAGACGTCTAGAGTGCCTCGACCTCCTTAGAGGGAGACAGAGCTAGAGTTTCGCGTGACATGAGAGATCCTCCACTTCCTGCCTATAGCATCCCCAGCCCCTACCTGCCTATAGCATTACTCTACCTGGTTAGCGCCGGCGCCAGGTAGCCGACTTTGATCAGGGGAAAAACCGTCGAACACGCCTTCTTATAACGGAGATGGAATCACCCTCAGCGCCCGGCAATGCCCAAGGAAAAACCTGAGTCGGACCATTTTGGTTAACCACAGTGGGATTCGAACCCACTTGTGTTGCGGCCCGTAGGCACGGACCAACACACATCCAGGCGTTAAACCACTACGCCATGTGGGCGATTTCTCTATGTAGGTAGGTAGGTAGGCTTGAAGGCGCAGCCGGTTTCGAGCAGAAATCTCTACGGACCTCCCAGCCCCTTTAAATTGGAAATATATAGTCTGAAAAGAAGGAATTTTCGTCGTCGTCTTCCTAAATATGAAATAAGTAAGTTGATTAACATTGTTGGTCAAACTTATAAAGCTTTAAATTAGAGTTATAGTCTTCAATATTGTAGCTGCTCAATTTCGATACTAGGTACAGTGCTCCTGGATATTCATGTTTGGGCAGCTACATGTATGATGCATACATACATACCTATACAGCCTGCCCCCTAGATGGAGTAGCACGGCTTAATATATTTATTGCGGAACGATGCCACATATATGTTGGGCGAGAAGTCTGTGATACCAGCTTAAAAAACATAATTTCGTTCTTCTCCGCCTTTTGTTTTTTTTTCTTTTTCAAATTGAAAGGGTTTCAAAATGCGCAGCATTTCGAAAATCCTTTGACGTGATTTATTTGAATTCCCCACGGGGGCTTTCAACCATGGCGAGTGAGTTAGCCTACTTTTCGTATTACTTCAAGTATCAGCCTTCAATTAATTTGTGATCTTCGACTTAGGCAATTTATGCTTAGAGGACATCCGTGTTTCAAGCCAAGAGGATATCGACAACCTGAACTGCTCCTTCAACGATAGGGTTTCTATTAACATGTACATCACTAATTTCACCGGCAAGCTTGATTTCCCACATTGTTTAACAGCAAACGTTATCCATATATACGATAATCCTAGGTTAAAAGAAATAAGCTTCCCTGACCTGGTAATTCTGTCCCAGCTCGCAATAGACAATGCCACGGAGCTCGAAAACGTTTCAATACCACATCTGACTTCAAACTTTTCACAACAACCTCCTGATAAATTAGAGTTCTTCGATACACCAAAATTGGCAACGTTCACCTTTGGAAACATTAGTAGCCTACGTATCCTCAATCTAACCAGCTCAGTGTTAGATCCGTACATGTTTTCTAGCATACCCTCAATTGACTATCTAATAGTTGAGGAGGCCCAGGAATTCGAAAACCTCAGATACGTGGAGACCTTGCAACTTATAGGGGATTATTATAACTCGGGAGCGTTCTTGAATATAACATCACTCCAAAACCTAACGTTTACCAATACTACAAATAGAGCGACTTATTTTGGTGACTCTTTGCTGATTAATAACTCTCTAGTGATGGAGAATTGTTATAGCAAGCGTGATCCCAGTTATATAATGATAGATGATGATAATGATAATAACGTTTACGTTTATTGGTTTGTTATATTTATTTGCGTAATTATAACGGCATATTTTTGGCGTTTTAAACGTTTAGAATATTTTTTTAAAAGGAATAAAGTTAAAGTATTGTTTAATATAAAAAAACGATAAAAGAAAATATAATAGTTTTATAAAATATTGTAATTATTTATAACTAGTAATTAATAAGGTTTAATTTTGTTTATTTTTAATAATAAAACTTATTTTAAGTTTTATTTTATAATAGGTTTAATTATTGTTATTTTTAACGTAAAGGTTAATTTTTTAAAAAAACTACTTAAAATTCCGGTATTTTATAAGTTTAAATACGTATTTTAAAAATTTTTTTAATAGTTTTAATTTAAGCAATTTTTTTTATATTATTTTATATTTTATAAAGTATTTTTTATTTGTATTTTTACCGTATTAATACGGTTTATTACGTTTAAAGTATTTAAATTTTACGTAATAAATTGTAAAATCTTTATAACCATTTTGTTTAATAATAAATTTATAAAATATAAAACGTATTAATTTTAACTTTTTAAATAATATATGCGTTATGTATAATTTAAGTTTTTTATATTTTTTTAAGCTTTTTTTAATCCATTAATTTTCGTATAAATATTAACGTTTTTTTTTATTTATTTTTTTTAAATATATAAAAATGAAAAGTTTATTTAGTATATAGTTTTTTAGTTTTAATTTAATTTTGCGTTTTACTTTTTTATTTATTATTTCGTTTTTTAATATTTTTATATATTTAAAAAACTATTATATTAATTAACTTTTTAATTTTTTAATTATTTTTTAAAAGTTTAGTTTAATTTTTTATATATTATCCGAAAAGTATTTAAAAAGTTTTAAAATAACTGTTATATTGTTAAAATAAAAATGAAAAGTATTTAATAGTTTTATAAAAGTTTATTTAAACGTTTTTTATGCGGTTTTAACTTTTGCATTAAATATTTTCGTTTATTTAAAAATGTTATATTATTTACTTATAATTTAAACTTATAAATACATAACTTATTTCCAGTTTATTACTTTATTTTTTAATTTATTTAAATATATTATTATATATTTTAATAAAATGTTATTTAATTAAACGTAATATATATTCCGGTTAAATCGTTTATTGTTTAAAATTGGTAAAAGTTATATTTTCCATATTTAATTTATAAACACCGATTTTAAGTTAAATGGTATTATTATTATTATTTATTATAATTATATATGTTTCGAAAACGTTAAATAAATTATCGGCTTGTTTTTTTTATTTCGGAATAATAAGTTAAATTATTTAACTAAAAGGTATAAAACGTTTAATTTACGTAATTATATTAATAATTTAAATTAAATTTATTTAAAAAAGACTTTTGTTAATAAAAAACTTAATTTTTAATATAAAATTTTAATATTTATGGTTTTTTAAATAAATAATATTGCTTTTATTATTATTTTAATTGTTAAATTAAAGAATTTTATATGTTATTATTTTTAAATATTAATTATATTACTTCCGCATTTAATTACTGGTTTATAAAAGTTTAATTATTAAGTTTCCGTTTTATATATAATTAAAAAAAAAACGTATACCGCGGCCATTTTTATTATAAAAATTAAAAACGCGTTTAAATATACTTTATTTAATTTTTTTAAATGTTTTATTACTTTTAATGTTTTAAATGTTTATATTTTTGTATAAAGTAAAAAAAATAGTTTAAAATTAAAAAAAATTTCCAGTTATTTTATTATACCGTTAATTAATTATATTCGAAAATTGTTTACTTTTATCGAATTTATATATTTGCGTTATTTATAAAAATATATAAATTTATATTTTTTTAAAAAAAAAGTAATAGCGTTTTTAATTTTTTATTCGAAAATGTTTATTACGTTTTTAATTAATAAATTTATAATTTCGATAATAATAAATTTTATTTAAAAAAAAACTATATTATTTATATAATTAAAACGTATTATATAATTGTTTCGGTTTAAAAAAAATTCGATATAAAATATAAAAAAAATTGGTAAAATCGAAAAGCTTTAAAAAATTTTGTAAAAAAAAAGTTTTGTAAAAATCGATTTATTTTTTAAGTAAATTAAAGCCGATTTGTTTATTATAAAAGATTTAATTTAATAAATTATTTTTAAAAGTTAATTTTATTTATAAAAGTAAAAAACCAATTTTTTTTTAAACATTATATTAAAAACGTTAAAAACGTTTATAATTAATAAAAACGCTTTAAATTTATTTGCAAAAGTTTTTTTTATATCGTTTATAACGTATATTGTTAAATTTATAACTAATTGTTTAAAAAATGTTTTAAAATGTTAAAAATTAAATAGTTTAAATATAATAGTTAACGTAGCTATATAATAAATTACAATTTTTTTTAACTTTTTATTTAAATAAAATAAAAAAAATATTAAGCGTTAAGATTTTATTAACGTAAGGTTTTTTTTGCTAGTTTTTGGCAATATAACCACGTTTGCTATTTAAAAGACTATTAAGTAATGTTTTATTTATACGTTTGTTTCGTAAAAGGTGCGGATCTTTTTTCTAAGGGCGGGCCAGGCGTATATAATGATAAACCTTGCGCAGATCAGTTCAATTGGATCATATCTATAGGCAAGCAATAATATAGCTATCGGGTTGAATTTTCGCCAATTGACAGATATAAATGGAGATATATCTATTTACGAAAATACGGATTGCACATTGGATTTAACCCAACTTTCGGATGTTGCAACATTATCTTTAGTCGATAATGTCAATACTACCTTACCTTGGTTTCCTGGGCTACGAAGAGCTAACAATATTCACATCCGAGGGTATATTGATACATAAGTTTAGGCATTATATCCTGTCATGAATGAAATGTATTGCTGAAGCGTGTCCAGTTCTCCCGGTCCTAATATTTTCCCAGCTTTGACAGCAGTGTCGGGAAATCTCACCATAGAAGCGTGGAACGACGACTTTAACTGTTCAAAGCTGGTAGACCAATATCAAAATGGCCTTATTCATAACCTGGCATGCAATGGGACTAACAACGAAACCGGACGCAATACGGAAAGCCCCCCGGGCAATGCCTCGTCAGAGTTATCTCAAGGGGCATGGGCTGGTATCGGAGTAGGCATAGGAGTATTTGTTATAGGCACTGTTTTCGGCATGATCTGGCTTCTTCTACGGCTCAAACGTTGGAGGAAGGAGCTTATGGAAATAATAAGGCAACAAGAGGCCCAGCAAGAGCATCGTAGGGACAGCCTAGAGATGGACCACGAACCGCCAAATCCGAATGTCCTATTGGAAAGTGACGGTACGGGCATCATCCGGGAAAAGCCCGACGACCACCTTCGCGAGGCTGGCGGTAGAGCGATCATTGCTGAGCACCCAGATGATCATATACGCGAACTACCAGTGCCACCGGCAGAGCTGGAAGGGGCGCCGGACATGGAGAGGAGGACATGAAAGATGGAAGTAGGGAGTAATAGGGGAATATATCACGAGCAGGAGTTCCACTAAGAACATGCGGTACGAAAGGATGGGCGGTTTTCTTCTAGCTTCTTCGTCGGCCTATCTATTAGTTATTTGCCTCGCTGAAATATATTTATACCGGCGTATTTATATACGTGCACAATAGCGTGAAATAACACCGCTAATACGAACGATAGAATATAGAATAAGGATATAGTGTGATCAAATTTAACAATTCCGGTACTGGCGGTAGGCAGTAGTCCACCCCCGGTACCCTCGGTGACGAGAACATAACAGCCCACGCTCATTATTATCACAGAATGCCATATCATGAGACTAGATGTACCTATTAACCGTGGTAGCGTTAGCAATATGCCTTTATAAGACTTTCAATAAGTATATTTACCTAGTTTATAAGCTATACCTACCTATGTATAATTGAGAAACATGTCAGAACCAGGGGTCTATAGTTGGTAGTTATGTCACAAATAAATAATAAGTAAAAAAAAGTATGCAGAAGAGTGAGTCTATAAACGCCTGTCCCTATGCTAAGCTACATGCGACCGAACCCTCCATTTATACATGCTAAAGGCTTCCACGTGGTAATCACCACCAGGATAGCCGAACCACCTGGGCCATAAACCTGCCTGGGCTATTGAACCAAAAAAACCACCCGGGCTATGTAAATCCTATCGCTGATAGGTCGTCATATATACACGTTCCTAACGATCTGCCTGAACCCGCAAGCCACCCCTTAACTCTCCACTCTACCAACCAACAAGTCCGAGAACCAATGCCTCGAAATCAGCGCCTCGCTTACTTCCAGTGGCACTGGACGAAGGAGCTCCTGTTCCTGGCGCCGGTGTGGGTCATCAAGCCGCAGAAGGTAACGTCGACCTTCCCGGTCTTCTTGTTCTTGGCGGAGACGTTGACGACGACGCGGTCTGGGCCTGGGTCGTCGGGGCGGGCGCCGGTGTAGACCTTCTTGTTCTGGAGGATGGGGAACTCGTAGAGCGGGCCCTTGCACTTGGCCTCGAAGTTCTTGATCTCCTTGCCGCGGTTGTGGAAGACGTGGGGGTACTTCCCGTTGCCGATCTTCTTGTTGCGGGTCTCGAGCTTGCCGGCCTGCTCGCCGGCGTCGTGCATCCGCGCCGTGGTGTAGGTGGTCTTGGCGCAGGTGGCGCTGCGGGGGAAGCCGCGGTAGGTGAACTTGGGGATGACGGCGCGGTCCTCGAGGGAGCGGTCCTCAAGTATTGCCTCGATCTCCCGGATGTCGATGGAGTCTTCTAGATCGCCGATCTCGACGATGTCCTGGACTGGGACGACTAGAGAGCTCCCTAGGGAGAGGAAAAGAGCGGTGGTAAGGAACGTAATTGGCTTCATTGTGAAGACGTTTCGAAATGAATGTGATATTTAGAAATGATTGAAAGATGCCTTTGGGTGTTGGCTGTTGGCTGTTGATTGTGTTTGAGGTAACGGAGGACGATGTGAGACCTTTATATATTATACATGTCGAATAGTCTGGTCACTCCATCTTCGTCTTTGAGCCTCCTGGCATCTAACTGCATCCACTAAGACATTCCATCTGGCTCGGCAGTATCACCAAAATAGAATCTACTGGCTTGTACGGCCAATGAGAAGTTATGATTGGATCCATGATTGATGAAAATCCTATGCCAATGTGTATAACTACCTAGGTAGGCATAGGTAGGCATAGGTTTACATATTATTAAATTGGCTTATACCGTTTCACTATTCAGTATTTGCTGATGTCATTAATGCTAGTAGAACAAGTATACCTAGACCTTGTAGAGATGAACGAAAATAGGCATTGGGTTGCATACTGCGATGGGTTTAAGCTGTAGATGGAAGTTGGGAATTTCCGTAAGGCTTAACGATGGCGTGGGTTGGCATAAACGGAAGGAGCTTAATTGACTTTTCTAATATATTGTAAACTTCAAATCTTTTTTGTAAACAGTTTGTTTCTAGCTTATTTTCAGCTTGCCTAGCGTGCTGAGGATCAGGAGGCTCAGCTGTGTACCCACACGATTTAAGCTTGGCGCATGCCCTTTTACGTTAGAGCTCTTTTTGTTAATAAGGCTTAAACACCAGTAACTTTAATAACACAGCCCAACTTTTATAACAACACAGCCCATCCACTTTTTTATGTATAATAAGGTTTAAAACTTACACCCATTTAATTTATATTAAAATTAATTTAACCTTTTAATAATTATAAACTTTTATTTAATTATATATATTATAATATAATAATTAATTAAATAAAAATAATAAAAATAATAAAAAAGTTAATAATTTATAATTAATTATTAACTTATTTATAATTAAATTAAATATACATTTATAAATTTTTAAATTAATATATTTATATAATTAATTTTATATAATTATTTATAATATTTAATTTATTTAATTTTTTAATTATTTATTATTATTATAACTTTAATAAATTTTATATATTTAATTAAAATAATAATATAATAATTAAAACTGTTAATTTAATTAATTATATTAATTTTGTTATTAATTTAATTATTTTATAAATTGTTAAAATAATATAATAAATATTTATTATTATTAAATTATAAATTATTAACTTTATTAAAAAAACTTTAAAAATTATTATTAATAATTTTATAAACTTTATAATTAATTTTATAAATTTTATAATTTATAAAAATTAAATATAATATTAAGTTTTATTAATATTAACGTTAAAAATAAAAAAATTATATATTATTATATATATTATTATTAAAATAATTATATTAATGTTATTATTAAAGTTATTATTTATTAATTTATTATATTTAATTAATTTTATTAATTTTAAATTAATATAATTAAATTAATAATAATAACTTTTTATTAATTAATTTTTATTTTGTGTTTTTATTAATATTAAATAAACTTTACATTTAAAGTTAAAACTTTATTATATAATTATATTCGATAATTATTATAATTAACTTACTTTAAAAATTAATTATAAAACTTTAAAATTAAATTAAACTCGTGTTTTTTAAAATTAATAAAAGTAATTTCATTTAAATTTTATTATAACGTTTTAAAAAACAATTTTTTAAAGTATGTTTTTTAACGTTTATAACTTTTAAATAACTTAAAATTTTAAATCTTAAAATCTTTTATTTTTTTTTCGGTTAAATTTAAACTATTGTTAAAATAAAACCATTAATAATGTTTAATATCAATCATTTTAAAAGTTTAAAATTTAACCAAATTTAACCAATTTTTTTTAACATATAATAAATTAAAAAAAACATATTTATAAAATAAATCCCATTATTTTATAAATAGATTTTTATAAATTAATTAAAAAATATTATTATTATACCAAATTAAATAATTTTAATACATTAATTTATATTACCTTTAAATTTATTTTAAAATTTTAAATAATATATAATATAATACGTTATAAAATATCTTTATTTAACAATATTTAAAAAAACTTTAAAACTTAACTTTTTAAACCTTTAATTTATATATAACTTTATAATTTACACATATATTATATATTTTAATATATAATATTTTAAAATTATAATATTAATATTTAATATAACATTTTAAATATTTATATATTATTTTAAATTAATTAATAATAATTATTTTATAATTATATATTTAAAATACAATAAATTAATAATATTAATTACGTTAAAAAAAATAATATTAAATTAAATAATTAATAAAAACTATATAAAAAATTAATTAATAAAAAAAACTTAAAAATTATAAATATTTTAAAAAAATAAAATATTAAATTTATTAAATAATTAAAAATAAATATTTGTATGCGTTACCGTTTTTTTAAATAAGTAAAAAGTAAATTAATAAAAAACTTTATTTTAATGTATAAATTTTATAATTAATTAACTTTATTTAAAATATTATAATATTTTTTAATATTAAAAGTTAAAAATGTAATAATTATTATACTTTTATTAAAAAATAATTATATTATAACATTTTATTATATTTAACTTAAAAAAACGATTGTAATAATAAAAATAAATATTAATAAATTATATTTAATTAAATTTAAACCTTTTATTAATTTAATTTACTTTAAAAAAAAAATATTATTTATATATTTAATGTTAATATTTCTTTTTTAATAAAGTTTATATAATTTAAAATATTTCTTTTATATTTATATAAATAATAACTTTTTAAACTTTTATAAAACCATTTTAATTATTAAACCACTTTTTAATATTAAAGATTAATTTTTAAAGTTATAAAAAAAAGGTTTTAACTTTAATATTTATAATATTTTAATTAGTTTTTAAATTATCTTTAATTTTTTCGGAATTTTCGTTAATTTTATTAACTTTATTATTAATAAATCTTTTATATAAAAAAAAAATTAAATTAAGTTAATTATTATTTAAAACAATTTTATTATTAATAACATATTTTTTATTAACTTTAAATAATAAATCATTTATTATTATTATTAATTTAATCCACTTTTTTATAATATAATAAATAACGTTTTTTATAATATATTATATATATAATTGTTATAATAATAATATAAATATTAAATTTACAACTTTTTTAAATACTTTTAAAAAATCATTTAATATTATAATAAATTCCCAAATTTTGTATTATATTTATAACTTATTTAAATACTTTAATTATTATATAAAATTAACTTTAACTTCGTTAAAAACAAGGTTAAAAATAATATAAAAATTAATATATAATAATATAATACTTATAATATTTAATAATAACATATTAAATTAATTAACTTATATTATATATATTAATATAAAATATAAAATAAAATTATTAATGTTATTTTATATATATTATTAAATAATAAAACTTTAAAATTACATTATTATATATAAAAATACCATTTAAAAATTTAAAATAAATAAATTACTTTTTTAATTATTAAATTTATATTAACTTTATAATTAATATTATAAACCTTTTTATATTATTATAACTTTTTTATTAATAATTAAATGTTTATAAATTTATTTTTTAATTTTTTTTTAAAATTTACCTTAATATTTACAACATTATTTAACATAATTGTAATATTTTATTATTATATTAAATTATATAATTTATTATTATTTTAATTTAAATTAAAAAGATTGTTTAAATTAACTTTAAGTTTAAATTATATATAAAACTTAAATTAATTAAATTTAAAATTATTATTTAATAAAAAATTAACAATTTAATTTATAATTAACGACTTAATTTTTAATAATTATAAAATAATTATTTTAAAATTATAATTATTATATTACGTTTGTTTATAATTAATGTTAATGGCGTTATTACTTAATTTATAATTATAAAAAACTTTTATTATTTTTATAATTTAATAATTTTACTTTTTTTAATGTATAATAATAACTTTATATAAGTAATTATAAAATTGTGTTTTTTATTAACGATTTTTATAACTTTAAATATAATATTTCCCGAATTTATTACATATAAATTAATAATATTATATAAAACTTTTAAAGTTATAATTGTTTTTTTTAACTTTAAATTATGCGTTTTTATTAATTATAACTTAAAAATTTTATTTAAAAATTAAGTTATTATATATGTTATAAACTTTATTATATAATTTAAAAAATTATTATAAATTATATTATAATAAAAGCTTTTTATTATATAAAAATTTATTACGATTAATTGTTAAAAATTTAATTAAAAAATTTATACGATTTAAAGTTAAAAAAGTTAAATTGGTAAAATTAATAAAAAGTTATATACGTTAAAATAAAATTTTAATTAATAAAATAATTATATTAAATTTTAAAAAAATTATAAGTTTAAATTAAATAAAAAATATTATAATAAATATTTATGTATTATTATATTAAAGTATAATAATAGTTTTAAAATAAAAAAGTAATATTTTAATTAAATTTAATTAATTATTATATTATAATGTATATAACCGGGTAAAAATCTATAATTGTTAAAGGGTTAAGTTAATCCCAATATAAATCAAGTGGGTGTAGGTTTTAGACCTTATTACACGTAGAAAAGTAAATAGGTTGTGCTGTTATAAAAGTTGGGTTGTGCTGTTAAAGTTACTGCTTAAACACCGCCTTATTATAAGTTGATATGATGCTCCTCTAATCTAGATCCTACGAATCCTCCCTTTACTAGTAATGCGGCACCTGAGACCTAGCGGATAGTCTGGTGTAGGTATTACAGGTATTGCAGACTTTACTACATGCATACCTATCTCAAAAGACACGTGATTATTAAATTATTCAAGCAACACAGTCTTTGTAGAGTCTCCCTTCTTAAGTTATCGCGGCTGACTTTTCCTTGGGTTTTCGTGTCCCATTATTCGCATCTCCAACTCAAAACCCCTTATCAGCTAATTATCTCTTGTAAAATGGCACCGTCAATCGATTCATTCCTTGACAAAAAGATCGCAGATCGATGGGGTCCGACGCGAAATGAGTGAGCTTTCGTCGTCTTTACCTTTACCTTAAGGCTAGCTAATCGCCGATAGGGCGAATGCTCTCCGCGAGCTTCTCCGAGGGAACATCAACCATGAGGAAGCAGCTACGAGGTTTACAAGCGATATTGCTGCATCTCGCAGTGCTGATGTGGCCAGCGGATCTTTATGGGGTATATGGATGCTGCTCCAGGAGACAGCAAAAAAGTTTCCCGAGCACCATGCTAAGGTAAACTGTCACTACTGAGACGGTCTATTTTCTTTTTCTTGATCTGACCGTTTGAAGTTGGTCAAATTGGTAGATGCTATTCGGCAACTTCCAGACCTCGTAATCAAGGGAGAAACAGCCGTCAAGTGGCCTGAACTTCCGAAACTGGCAGAAGTATGGGGAGAGAATGTCTATGATCGTGAGTGATACGTCTTGCGTCCGCTTATCTACCTATGTACGGAGAGTTAACACTCGATAGGGGATGAATTGGCCTATTCCGAAGAGCATATAGCAGTGACCGCATTCACGGCCCAGCTTTGTGCCCGGCAGCTTGTCGATGCCAACGATTTTCTGTCATGGGCAGTAAGGGATTTTTATGCTGCCTTCGAGCAGACTCCGGCAGAAGCGGCTGATGTTAAGGGAGACAACGTTCGGCTATTGAATGCCAATGTGCCTATCGCGGCACAATGGATCCTGCATGCCGGAGAGATAATTTACAACTGCGAAGAGAGTTTTAATCTCGAGTCGAGCGATGGCTTATGGACGGGTAAGCCTGGATTTAGCTGGGGTAGATGGAAGCTATGGAAGGAAAGGGCAGAATGGGTATCTGGCCTCGATAGGGTGGTAAGACAAGAGACGATAGATGTCGCTAAGAAAATGGTGGAGAAAATGAGTCAGATCGAGAATGAAGAGGCCTGATGGAAAGAATACAAGGGTGAGCAACTTGGTTCAATAAAGGAATTGATAGAATTGCGAGCGTGTTTGATAATTGATTTTTATAATGGTGTAATATTCTTGATACTTACCAGAAGTGCTAGTTATAGAAGTGTCGATGAATAATGTTGTTATTAGATGAATTACCTCATATCGCATTCCATGGTACTTCCAAGTTCTTAAAATACCTAAATAGTAGGATGTCGGCAAAGTGCTCCGCCGACCTAAGCTGCTAGGCTGCTAGGATACTGGTAGCTCTGTATCTGAGGAAGTGACGTTAATTTTAGCGCGTTACAGCTACAATACAGAAGGTGTCCCCAACTCAAATCAAGGGAGCAACTGAACAATGAGAAACTACAAAATTCCCTGACGTAAGTTTGCGCCGGCTCGCTTGAACATCACAACTTCTTAGGGAACTCTGGCATTCCTGCAAAGATGTTACATATTGATAAACTCAATTTCTTATAAGCTGCTTTACTTCCGTCGCTTCTATAATCTATTTCATAATGGACATATCTAACTCGGGAGGTACGGATGCAAACAAGTCAAGCTTCTACATGATTATTAAACTTCACCTCAGCAGACCAACCTATTAACTTGTCCTTTCTGTAGATATCTCCTGGACCTCTGTTCCCACCGACCTACTCCTTGCTGAGCTATCAAAAAGACAGCATGGCCATGGAAGTTCCACGCCCGATACCGAAAAGCCAGCTTGTGGATCGGGCGAGCGAGGCGCATACAATACCGCGCTTCATGTCTTCGCTTTATTCCTCATACTTACACTAAGCACGCTGGGTAAGATATCAAAGTTACAGCTGCTGCTGAGTTTCATTAGTTTGGACTGGATATGCTAACTGGGATTGTGCGACGATTCGTAGCTTGCGGTTTTCCCCTCTTCTCCCGCCAATCCTCCAAGAGTCGTCGAGCCAATACGATTGTATTCCTCAGCCAACACTTTGGCACGGGTGTCCTACTCGCAACCGCTTTTGTTCACCTTCTTCCGACTGCTTTCCTATCTTTGACCGACCCCTGTCTCCCTCATGCATTCAGCGAAGGATACCAACCCATGGCGGGGTTGGTAGCTATGGTTTCAGTTCTGGTTGTTGTGGCGTTGGAATCGTATCTGACGACTAGGGGTGCTGGTCATTCGCATGGCCACGCGTGGAACTCGGAAGATGAAGAGTTGCAGGAAGAAGGCAAGAATGCCACGACTAATGGTGGATTGTCGGCAAGAAGAGCTGCGAGCCACAGGCCGACGGATATTGCGCTCGGTGATATGAGCTCCAGTAGGGGTCTAATGGCAGATGTTTCCCCACTTCCAGAATCCACGCCGATCGTCGTATCGCCGCCAAATAAGAAACATTTTAACAATAACGATGACGGGGAGAATGATTCGGACGATAACGATGACGAAGATCTCAACCTCGATCTCAATGAGCTCGACCCCACTGCGGAAGACGACGCACAACCCCTTGCCCATCCTAACGGAAGCAACCATAGAAGACGACATTCTGAATCTGGCATATCCCAAAGCCCGCTAACACCCGAAGAGCAGAAACGACTAATGCTTCAGTGCATGTTACTGGAGGCCGGAATCCTATTTCATAGTATATTCATCGGCATGGCTGTGTCGGTTGCTACAGGACCCCCTTTCGTGGTTTTCTTGATCGCCATCGCATTCCACCAGACCTTTGAAGGCCTCGCCCTCGGATCTCGTATAGCCGCGATCCAATTCCCCCGATCATCTCTACGTCCCTGGCTAATGGTCTTGGCGTATGGGCTTACTACTCCCATCGGTCAGGCTATCGGGCTCGCTGTGCATAGGTTGTACGACCCGCGCAGCCAGACGGGCTTGCTCATGGTCGGCTTTATGAACGCCATCTCGAGCGGCCTTCTGCTGTTCGCGGGCTTGGTGCAGCTGCTTTCTGAGGACTTCCTTACCGAGAAGAGCTATAAGACGTTGAACGGGAAGAAGAGAAGAAATGCTGGCTTGGCTGTACTAGCGGGTGCCACCCTCATGGCTCTTGTTGGTGCCTTTGCGTAAATCTAATTGATAGATTCCTGGTTGTAAAATTTTGGCGTTTCCGGATAGGGGCTATCTGACATAAGGAATGATATAGATGGCTACTAGGTAGATGGGATCTTGTCACTTCGATCAGAGGTTAAGTCTAATTCTGGAGTTGTCACGGTCACATGAAAAAATTTACTTGGAGCTAATGTCAAGATATTGTCTTTCACCGGTCTGGTCTTTTTTATACAAGCGTGTCCCGAAATATATCCTACCAATCTCAAGCAATTCAGGCTGCTTTAGGTACCGCGGTTGCCCAGGGGTAGGTCGTCGACATTGGGGAGCCGTAGCTGCCGAGGTCATTGTAGTCCTTGGTGATGGTCTGGTTCTGGAGGACCTTGGTCACAAAGGGGAGGACGCTGTTGCTAGGGTCGGAGTTAGCAATGAAGCCGATCGAGGTCAAGGCGGCAAATGAGGGGAGTTTCTAAAGCATCGAAGAAGGGGTACTTACAATCCGCTCATATCGCAGTGGCCGCCACCACGAACAGACATCGCAATCTGGTCCGGAACACCCAACCAGTCGTAAACAAGCTTCGCAGCCGGGTACACAACAACCGAAGTGCCCTTCGAGTTAGTAAACTGGTCACCAGTGCCCTGGTCAATAACAAGGGCGCGCGGCGCAATCGCAGCAGCAATAGTATGCGCGTCATACGGCAGATTCTCCGCGTGGTTGACGAAGGTCCCCAGGGTATTGTCCGTCCACCACCCCGCGCCGCTCTTGCTGTTCTCGAGCGTCTCGTCCTGCCCGCTCAGCCCGTGGTACCGGTACGGGCCTAGCCCCTGGACGCCGCTGCTCATGGGCATGGTCAGCGTGATGCGCTTGTCCAGCAGCCCGGCGGCGAGAGCCGCTTTGCCGAGGCGCGAGCACCCGGTTACGCCGACGCGGGCGCTGTCGATCTCGGGGACGGTGGCGTTGAGGGCGTCTAGCACGCGGTGGAAGCCCCATGCCCATGCTGTGAGGACGCCTGTGGGGGGGGTTAGTCTTGGGGGTTATTTCGGAATAAATAACAAGTGTAGGTAGGTAGGTGGGTAGGTAGGATGGCTTCTTCGTACCGATGTCCCGGCCGTTGTAGATATCCCAGAACGCGCCTGTCTTAGCGTTGCTATCGGCGGCGACGCGGGTGTAGTCGAAGCCGACGACGGCGATGCCGGCTTGCAGGTATGGCTGGTCGGTCATGCCGCCGATGTTGATGACGACGGGTGCGGGCTTCGTCGAGGGTAGCGCTAGGGTGGCGCTGAATTTGCCGGTCTTGCCGCCGGCTGTTACTTCAATGTTTACCGTGTTGCCGCTGCGTGTGGCTTTGACTGTTTCTTGCGAGTGGTCGGGGTAGTACCCGTATCTACGAACGTGGTGTTAGAATCTAGCACCCCAATTCCCCTTACTGCTGAAGGGGCTTGGTATCCCGCAGGAACGCATTCTTGCCGGTGGACTTACTGGTACTCCTGCAACATCTGGAGGAGCTCGGGCTGGCGGCATTGGTACCATTCCTCGGGTGTCTGGATCCGGTTCTTGCCCTTACCCGCCATCACGTCGGACGCGAAAGAGGGATCGCTGCCGCCCTCGCTATCAGTCGTCGTGTAAGCTAGCGGTAGCCAGGGGTCCGGAAGCGTCGTCTGCTTCGGCAGCTTTTCCCACGTGGGGTACTTTCCCGCCGACGGGACCGGCGCGCATTCGGCTGCTGCTGTCGGTGCTGCGACTGGAGCCGGCACTGCTGGGATGGCTGCTCCTAACCACGGGAGGGCTACTACACCAATGATGGCGGCGCGCTTGGGGAAAGGCATGTTGGGTAACGGACCTTCGAGGATAGACGCAGGTAGGATAAGTTGTAGGATCGAGAGCGTGGGTTATTTTCGAGGGCTCGTGGAGGCGACGAAGAACTAATATATGATCACATACGCGGTAGCGGTGAGGTCACATCGGCTCGCCCCGGAACTTGGGCCTCCTTGCCGTACATCGATATTGCCGCTACCCCGAGACAGCTGGCCGGGTATTTCTGGTAGCATATAGGTGGTTAACATATCCTTGAGGCTCGTCGATCAGGTGCAATAGTATATTTTTATGTAAACTTCTTTCTTTTTCTTTTTTTTCTAATGTCTCTCTTCTCCTGCTTACACTGATTTTCCGATCGTACCCGTGGATTGTAGTTCACCTTTTCTATTACGGATTAGAAGTTCTCCAGCAATACAGTTCAGCAGAAAACATCCTATACTCCAAGACCCGGATCGAGATGAAAAGGCCACGCGCTAGGATCTTTGAGGGTCCAGGCGGCTAGACCGTCCAGGGTGATATCGAGACTTTAGCCGGTAAGTGTAAACACAGTTCACCACTACCCCAGGGTATGGTCGGATTGATGCGGAGAAGCTATTTTTATCGGGCCATTGGTTATTGTGTATATTTTCATCTGAAGCGGTATACTACCTAATCTCATTTAACACCGAAGTCTAGTACGGCCATCGTCCCATATTTTCAGTTTGCATAGCTGTTGTAGAATCTTTGCATTATGTGTTAAAGATAACTACCTACCTTTATGCTATATACAGTACTTGTACGAAAAGCGTGGAAATATTAAGCGCAAGGTATGTATCCGGCAGTGACTATTTTTGGTCCGTTGCTAAGAACGAGGAATAACGGAATTTGACCGATTCATACCGGCCCCCACCCCGTTCCATCTTCCGTTCCCGCCCGGAAGTCTCCGGCACAGGATAATACACGCGTGCCTACGTATATAGGCGATAGTAAGATATTTTGCTCATATTCTTGCTTCACGCAACTTAACACTTAGTTTAAAGATTAGAAAGTTACGGGCTTATTTTCTATAGTTATTTGGTGTTTACCTAAATGCGTATTACATAGCATCATTTAAACCTACCCCTTATTTTTAATTCTTATGACTGAAGTAGTCCGACGCATGATGCGACTTGAAAATGGACAATTAATGAAATGAGAATTTTGCCAAGATATTTATAACAGAAAGCGGATTGCTCTTCGTTCAATGGTTGACGCGGGTTTAAGATCCAACACGAGATAATTACATCACGAACAAAAGCCAAGTAAAAGGCCACGTCAACGCCCACGTAAGAAATATGTTTCTAGCTTACTATTATAATCATATAAAACTTGTGAAGCGTCTTGATTCCGTTATATACTATCAAGTTCTACCCACCTGTTCTTCCGTTCTTAATGCCTACCTGCCATGTCCCCCCTACCCTCCTACTCTTTGTGGCAAGCAGAAAGTATATAAGTCATTTCAACACTTAGGACTATCACGTACGACCATAGGATCTGGAAAACTCGGGATCCCGTCCGCTCTCCCCTAGATAAGCCAGATACCGCTGGATTAGTAGTTGGGTCGGTGACGACCAGCGAATCCCCGGTGTTGTACGTTTATTTTTTATCTTTTGTTTCCTTTTGCTTTCCTTCCGTATTTTATTCCTAGCCGGTGTTGTTGTTCATGCTTTCTAGGTCGGTCACGTCGGAATTAAGTTCTAGAATTGTCGGTGGTTGTGTTGAGAGCTGCGAGAGCGGATGTGTATTGTTGGTTTGGTGAGAGACACTAGACATGTAATCTAATGGACTCTAGTAACATATATCTAAGCCCCCTGTTAAGACTCTTATTTAACTAGGTTCGTTAAATGCTCACTTTAATTTTATTCCTATGTTTTATGGATGTATGGCTTAGGTATATTCAACCTGTTAAATCTATCGTGCTATATTTACGAATCGCCTGCTTATGATATTCCCCTATTCTATTTAAGGTATTTAAACGATAACAATGCCTACTAAGATTCACATATCGTTTATAGTAAGGTATGCAATTTTTTAGGTAGAAATTAAAGGAGCTAAGAGAGTCGCGAAATACCTAACATAAAGCTAAAAATAGGGGTAAAAAAAGGGGGTGCCTATCAATTTCTAGTCTCCCACGATATACTGTATCTTGTATATAAGGTTAAGAAGGCCCTCCCTAAGAAGATTATAAAGGATGGAACCATAGTACTTAAAACGGGGTTTCAAATTATCAAGTACATCCTGACCATAAGAAACCTTAGACATCAGCCATAATTCACTATCCCCATCCCTACTGCCATTTAAGCAAGAACGACAGCATCCATGACGGTAGTAACGTAGCTTAGGTAGGCACCCCTTATCTCCCACAAAACACCACCGCTGCTTCTAAAATGCAACTATCACCAACCTTATCGTCGCCGTATCTAGGCAACACCCCCATTGTGATTCCTAGAATAGGTAGTGGCAACATCGTTGATTATTAAGATTAGGGTTAGGATCAAGCTACTAGTTACCTTTTATATGCGTTAGGTACTATAGGCAGTGAGTACCTAACCTAAATAAATCCCTGAGTCACCGTAGCTACAAGATCCACCCCATCAACACTTCCCAACACTTCCCAACACTGCCCACACGCAGAAAACCAGCACCCAACACCTGGCACCAACGGCAGAACACCCCGTCACCGCCCCAGCAGAAAATATATAAACAAGTTCGCCTCCCACCACTCCTCCAATTCCCTTCCCTCCCTTCTCTTCTCTTTTCTTCCCCATGCCTCCCCGGCCCGCAGCCTTTTCTTTTATTTCCTTTGTTTGTCGCCATTTTTGGCTCTGCTGCCTAGTACCCGCACACGCGGGGAATCGACAAGTGTGTTGCGCTGGTCAATTTTTGGAAAACTCCCCTTTTTAGTAAATCTAGTGCATGTCTGTCGTGCACGAATTTTTGGAAACGCAGATCACCCCTTGGGGCGAGTCACAGACACACACAACCTTTTTTTTTTTTCGTTGATTACTCGGCCTGGTGCCGTGGGTCGAGGAAGAGATTTATCTGTCTGTCTGTCTGTCTGTTTGGACTTTGGTATGAGGGAATGTAATGGGACGTGCTACGGCTTGGTGGTGTTTGATTACTACCTTAGGTACCTATGGATGGATGAATAGGTAGATGTTAGGTATGGTAATGGAAGGCCTGTTATCTATGGATTCGTAGATGGAGTACGGTACTTGGCTAGGTATGTTGTGAGAGGAATATGCCACATCGTGTACTTTAACCTAAATTCAGAGGCCGTTGGCAACTAGACTTAAGACAAGGTAGATGTCTCGGAGACCGTGATCGTAGAATGACAGTATTGTTACGCGACGGCTAATATTTTAGAAAATTTCGAGATGGAGCTTCAGAAGTACAGATATCAGGTAGGCTACAAGGTACTAATCTCACGCTGGAAGCCATAAACACGTCTACATACCCCAATGAGCAACTCATCAGCAAGCCATTATCTTGTCCCACGTATGCCATCATTTATACTAGACATGTACCAATTTGGACTTTTCATCTACTACCAAGGTAGCCTGGAAGCCACAATGCCAATTAGATAAATATTCTGATCCCTGTGGTTAAGCTGGGCTACAATCACTTCACAGGTACTAAAGACACAATATGTTCGAGCCTGTCGAATTATGGAATTCAGCTATATATTCTCAGACATCCCAAGGAAATCTCTTATAGCCATGACCCATCCATGCAGGTCTTTATTCAACCTATCCGTTCATATAGACATACGGGTAACCCGGTACTTTTCCCTAGCCGTGCTCTATTTGGTATCTGCCATGCTACATTCGTACAACAAAAGTTTCATTAATAAAAGAAAATATCCAGGAACCGCTTTCGATCAATAACCCCAGCAGTCTATCATGTTTATGCTGATGTGATGAAGTGGGGTGCGTTGATAAATAGACCCATGAGTACGCCACCAAGGGTACCGGCGATGGGAATCGTGGCGATCCACGATAGGAGCAGCAGACCGACACGCTGGAAGTTGACAGCCTTTATGGTACCGTTGCAGAGACCGACGCCGACGGTAGCTCCCGTGATGCACATCGAGGTAGACACGGGAAGAGAGTACTGAGAGAATACAAGCACCGTGATGGCAGCGCCCATCTCCATAGAGCAACCTCGGCTAGGAGAATGATAGGTAATCTTGTTGCCCATGACCTTCATGATGTTATAGCCATACGTGATAAGGCCGATGGAGATCATCGCAGACAGGACAGCGAGTTGCCAAATAGGAACCTGCGCGGTAGACTCAGAAGCCTTACCGGTAGTCCACGCGGAGTAGATGACGGCCCAGGGTCCAACAGAGTTTCCAATATCGTTAGCACCGTGAGCGAACGAGGCAGTACAGGCAGTCAGGACCTGAATGAAAGAATATGTGTGTTCGACCTCGTTGGGGTACTTCTCCGCATGGGCGTAGACGCTCTGCATGCGCTTACCCTCGGGAGTGCCGGAGATACCGGACTGCGCGGCGTGGATATCGTAGTGGAGACCATAGAGCAGGCCGCTGGTGACGACTGCGGGAATACGCTTCATGAGGATCTTCATGTTGTGGAGTTCGTAAATCTCACCGGCACCCATAGGGTTGTCGCGGAGCGTGCGCATAGCCCAGCCCATAGGACCACGGCTGTTAAGGAGCTTCTCGTGTAGCTTGCTCTCACCCTGCGCAACGATTTCCCTGTACGTGGTTTGCTTAGCCTCGATTGTGGCGAGCCTCTTCTCGTTCTCCTCTTTAGAGCTCGAAGTAGCCGGGTGATCGGAGATAGATTCGGAACGGGTGGAAGCGTGTTCCTCTTCCTCGTCTTGGATGACGGCGTAGTTAGGAATGTTGGCAATCTCGGAATTCTCGGGAACCGGGCGCTTGAAGAGGAGGGGACCCTGAACAAACATCCACCATTTGACCGAGTGGTCCCGCCTGATAACCTTTGCGTGTACGAAGGGGACGAAAAATAGAGCTGAGAGGAGGGCGACACCACCGCCACAACCCATAGTGACGGCAGCTACGTACCAACCGGGCTTCTTGTTTAAGTTGAGACTGGGAGAGCCCTTGTACACGATAGACAGAGTACAGACGGTACCGGCAACGAGAAAGAAGAAAGGCGAGGAGTACACAGCCCAGGGAATCGGGTTCTTGCGAATGTGAACGACAAGCTTGATGAGCATGAAGAACGCGGCACCGAAGCCTCCGGCGATGACGGGAGCCATTCCAAGACCGGCAAAGATGGCACCGAGACCCTTACCGTTGTTCCAGCCCCACTGGACATGCGAGGCGCCGACGGTTGCGACACCAACGCCAGCAACGGCGGAGATGAGAGAGTAGGTGGAGGACACGTGAGCCGAGTGTCGCGTGCACCACATAACCCAAGTCGAAGCGGCAGCCAAGGCACAAGTGAAAGCGAGCATCTGAACACCGGCGTTTCCACCGAAAGCTGTGTAGGGGATGATACCGTTCTTGATGGTATCGGCCGTGCGGGCACCGACTGTGATAGCTCCGAGCATTTCGAATACGGTACCGAATATCATGGCTTGCCTGTACGAGATGGATCTCGACGAGACACTGGTAGCCCAGGAGTTTGCAACATCATCTAAAGAAGAAACTGTCAATAACTGAAGAATTTACTAGGATACACGCGTAGAGACAAATCTGATTGGTCGGATAAGAGATTACTTACTGGCACCATTGTTGAAGGCATCGAGCATGGCAAACAGAGTGCCGATGGCGAAGATGTAGGTGTACTGGTCGAGAGCCATTTTGACACGCGCGGACAGAGGCCGTCAATGTCGGTATCGATGGTCGATGGTCGATGGTCGATGTCTCGTCGATAACAGGGCGCTGTTTATCAAGAAAAAGGTAGAAGGAGAGACAAAGGGCGATAGGCAGAATATATAGGTCCTACCCGAGCCTATCTCCGCGACGTATCAAGGTCGCCCAAAGCTACCTCATATGGCCTTACCGAGGGGCATCGAATCCTGACCAACACAGGGTTGACCTTGTAGTGTTCGCATTTCACAAAAGCATGATTTGTGATTTGACCAGGAAAGCCACTTTCATGAGGGCGGCCAGTCGGCCGTTTTCCCATCCACGTCTAGGCCTGCCCGGCTGGGCAAGGCTTGTATCTCTTGCCAGTGTCGAGGCAGAATTGGCTTACTTGGCGCATCTTGGCGACACAAGATAGGATTCCAATATCCGCGATAATGTACAAAACTATAGGGTTTGATAGACGGACGACTCTGGTTCGCGGCGAGTTCGCGGCTGAGGCTCTTGGCGGAGCACAAGACTCCAACGGACCCCAGGGCTCGCGTGGGCCAATAGAAGGTCTCAAAGGACCCCACGTGTGAAGATCTGCCGTTGTGAACGGCTCCCATGGAGTACGGGGGGACCCCGTCTGCCCAGACGCCCGGAAAGCTAGTGGCAAGGGGTCCTCGAGCTAATGACGAGTCGGGCCAACCGCTGGTATCAATATCAAACTACAGCAATTGCCTTCCTGCAACGGAATAATTCTAGAACAGAAATAAAAAGTTCAGCGCTCGTCACACGTCCAATGATATGCTTTCTGAGAAAGTACGCAGCACACTCCTGCGCGACGGAAGCACGTGTGACAGAAAATGCCTTGACGGAAGTTTACATATGCTCTCCTAGGACCTCGGTATATATTTTAAGGTTGATCATATTGATATTCTACAACTGATTCATCAGTGAAACTATATTCTTCCCACGTTTTCGTGCTCTCATCGACGTATTGAACTCACCGCGCGCAATAGAATTTAGAAAATCCATCCCCTCTCAGTTGTTTAGTCCGAGAACTAGACGGATACTAGCGTTGAGCTATTATATAGATAGAGAGGTCGCATTCAGCACCGTAACAAGCTTTTGCTTGGCACTTGGTATCTCATACGATATGCTTAGCTGGTGGTGTCGTAGCTTGTCAGGGCATTGGAGAATCGACGACGCACACTACATTCTGACTTGAAAGGGACTTCGGTCACGAGGGTGTGGGTGTGATTATTGCGCGATCAAGCCACAGGACTTCATCCGAACCACTAGAAATATCTCTCCGTCAATATTCGGGGGTGTATCCCGAATCCAGGTGGACTGCTCGGTCTGCTCGCTTAGGTAAAATCATAGTAAGGTAACGTTATACTATTAGTTAATTGTCTATGCTAGTTATTAATAATTTTTAATAACAGTTTCGACTTAAGAGATATGTAGTTGTGTGGCGGTTTACTATACTAGTGTAAGATAAGATAAGATCGTGAGAAATTCAACAACCCTAGTGAAAATAAGCAGTGCAGTTGTAAACATGTCGCACGGCCACGTGCTCTCCCAAAGTTCAAGTTGCCAAGAGCCGTGGTTGTTTAGCTCTATCATTTTAGTAAGGTGCGACCGAGCCGCTTGCAAGGTCCCGCATTGGCTTTTTTTAGTCCCGATCTTGGCAGCTGCTTCGGAAACAGGGAAATTTCATTACGCACAACCTTTAGATAAAATTAACATAAACCTTCACGACTCGGGTATTTCCTATTTCAACTCCTATCGGCACTAAAATAGTAGCGCCTGTTTATAACACCATACTTTAACGTCGTATATGTTCCTGGGAAGTTTTGATCTGGATAAGAACGTGCATCTTTCGAATTTCAGGGACGGTCAACTCCACCTAGAATGAAACTACCTGTAGTAGTTCTAGTCTATAAGGATGTGAAAAACACGTAGGAACACAATTCTATTGAACCATAAGGAACTACAATACCCTACCGAGACTACATAACTAGAAGCTCTTTGTCCTAGACGCCTTGGAAGTCTAATGATCTAACAGTATAGTTAATAGACATTTCATTAGCTTTCAACTATTCAGAGATCTGTCAGCTTAAACATAATGAGCTCGCTAACCTAGACACCTAGGAATTATGCCTGTGTCACCACTCTTCTAAACCGAAAACCCGAGTGGCGGTTTACCGACCAACACAGGTCAATATAGGTAGTATACCTAACTATGGTTGACCATCATTGCGTTAGGGTGGCTGCAGATGTACATATAATTTTCAGTGTTAATATATGTCATATCTCTGGTCCCCATTATAGGCTAGTACGTGGGATAGGTAGTCGCGAAAGCTTTTCTGTGTTGTGCTTTCTATTAAATCTATTCTCTAGAAACTAATTCACAGTTTCGAAAGGCAAACCTGTCTTCGTGATGGTATAGCACGACTGCAATGATATAATTAGCGACGGTAATAAGTTTAAAGACACTAATAAAGCAAATCAACTTTTATTACCTTTTTATCCACTATCGAAAGGCTTAAATAGGATGAAGTCAGGGTAGATATAAAAAGTCGAAACACAAAGGAAAAATACCAATCATGGCAATTTTTGCTTCAATTACTTTTATTGATTAAAGACTGATATTGTCAGAAGTGACCCTTGATATATCACCTACAGAGTAACAGGTACAAGCCAGTAAAGAAATAGAGTAAACAATACCAAAGAAGTCTGTTAACGCCTACTCCTAATATTTAAAACTAGGCACACCGAAGTGCCCTATATATACTATCTAATAGCTAGTCAATGATAAGCTTCCGTTTAGAACACCAACCATATCATCTAGCTAGTCCTAATCTTTGCTTCCTAACAAATATAATAAAGATAGGTATAATCAATATGGGATGTGCGAAATGCTTATTTTACGACTTAATGGTTATCTTAATAAGTTAAAAATTGCCCCAGCTTTGAAGGGATTAGAAAGAAGCAACGCTGGGGAAATAAGGAAGTATAAAGGAACACGAATTATGAAATTAGAAAATTTAGGAATGATTTAAAGGTTCAAACGTAAACTCAGCATAATTCTTTTTATTAATCTCGAGGCTTTCAATGCTGGCTCTGATTCCTAAGAAGGGGCAAACAGCAGATCATTTATAATCCATAGAAGAAGAATTATCGTTATGGGAAACTGTTATGTTTGAAGGAAAATAGCGCTGATGTGTGGCTGAACTGTCGCCATACGGCATATATATACTTAAGTAAGGAGGGAGGTAACCAGGTCTGCTATTGGCTAAGAAAGCGTAGCACTCTAAGTGGGCGCTTGCTTGCCGCCCAACATAAACCAATTATTCCATGCCAACAGGCAGGTGAGGCTCTGTAGAACAGACCTTGAAAATAAGATGAAAAATGACATATCAGCGAAGTTTTATTAAGTTTCGTGTCCCCCTCGTAAATAATGTTGCAGTAACTTTGCTGCAGTAACTTTCTCAACTCAATAGTTTGGTATTATGGAGTCTTTTCAAATCGGATTTTATACTGTCATTATATTAGCAGCATCTAAAGTCATCCTAATTGCACTTGAGATTTTTAATTCACGCAAGCTAAATGCCAGGTTCTTGCGTGCGTCCGGATATATATCCGCGCTCCTGGCCCTTCTCCTCGGAAGTGTGTCGTTTGTGGGGTTACGAGCAAAGGGGCCAGACCAACCTGGCCAGTGTAAAAGCGCTGATGCGGATATAGTGGGAGACGGTGTTCGCGCAGCTTCCTGGGCGCAAGTCGGATTGCTATTTTTCATTACTCTTACGGGAGTATTTCATATCTATAAGACGTCCGTGAAAGAGATTGGCCAAGGCCTGATTGCCACGCACGTGTCTTTAGCCATTGCTCTTCTCGTCCCACTAAGCCGTCGAGAGCTCTCCCCTATCGATGCAATACTAGGGTCTTTGATCCTCGATGCGCAAGGAAATTCTCTTTCTTTCCAGTTAGTCACGAAGGAAACATTAGCAGCTCGAGGGCAAGTGGTCGTTGCTTTGATAGCTCAGTTGCTTGGCTTGATTGTAGAAGGTATCCTCGTGGGTAACTTCACTGCAAACTTGCGTCTCACTAGCGATTGCGATTGCTTCTCCGCATTTTGGTGGTCGTGGTTGAGCAACTGTTCGTCGGTATCCCCGAACGATGCCAGGCCGTTCTGGATTTATTTCGGATATCGATTCATCAACACTATTTACGGAGGCTACTTTGCCATCACGCGGACTACAACTTTTGACGAAGCTGAGAAGTGGGATAGGGAAAACTCATGCTACCCATGCGATTCCTGCATTGAATCCAGCGTAGAAACACGGCATGCGGACTGTAAATGCTATTTCTGCAAAGAATGTTGCTATTGCAAAGTATGCAACAGGAAGCGGCGCTGTAGTGACCAGAAACAGAATGACTCTAGCAGCGATGAACCACTACAAGATATTAGCGACGGTATACCACTACAGGATATTAGTAATGGTATACCAATACGAAGCGTTAGCAATGATGGCTCTAATGACGATAACGCCAACGATGACGATCTTAACAATGACGAGGCGCTACAGAACAGTAGCAATAGTATATCATCACGAAGGACGGACGACGATGGACAACTACAAAATGGCAATAACGATGTACCGTCACAACCTGGTAACAATGGCATACTACCGCAAAATAGTAGCCGGGATATAGAACAATCTCTCCCTCCATGTAAAATCTGCGAGGACTGCCAAAGATGTCACGAGTGCGGACACATGGACTTCAATGCCTACCAAACAGTACTTCTGGCCGGCGAACGGTTTTCTGAATACGGTGTAACCGTCAGCGTAAGCTTCCTAGAAACCAGCGTCCTCGCCTTGCTGAGTATGATATCGGTCGAAGTCACGATGAACATCAATGCGGTACAGAAGACATCCCCTTTATATTCTGTTGGACAAGTCACAGCTTTGGTTATAGCGGGTGGAACAGCCCTTCGAGTACTTTATGTTTTCTTCTTAATGTTCATTGTTTAAAGGATGGGGGGTACGGGATTCAACATAGCATTGTATGGTGATACATGGGTAACTTAAAAGATACCTTAGACTTAGAATACTAGACCAAAAATTGAATATCAAACGGGCATGGTTCGCTGTAAATATTAAGCCCTACCTAACATAACGTAGCCGATTTAGAAGAAAGAAAAACGGGATATGCCTTGGCAAAACGACGGTCCGTTAAAGTATATAGTGTATCGCCACCTTACTAGCCATGAGACAATGAGTCAATTTACCCTATTTAGATACGAAGAGTGGGAATTATGCAATACCTCGGACCAGAGCGATGCTACCTATGCCTACCTATATACCAAACCCACATCTTCAATCTCTCTAGGTTACTCATTCTTCCCCCCCGTCACAGCCTCCACCCCCTTAACAACCAACCACCTAGCCATCATAGTATGAAACCACCTCCCCACCCACCCCTCCAGCAGCGTCGCCTTCCCCCCATCCCTCCCCCTCCACATAACCGTCTCATTCACAAACCGAACCTCCCCCTCTCCCTCATCCTTCCCCTTCCCCTTCCCCTTCCCCTCCCTCTCCCTCTCCCTCTCCCTCTCGCTCCTCCTCCCCCTCCCCGCACGATCAACATCAACATCAAACCCAACAACCAGCGCGCCCCCCACAACCGGCCCCGTCCACCCCTCCGGCGGCGCCAAATCCAGCACCACCCTCCCCTTGCTCCGACTGCGGCTGCGCACAACATACACGCCGCACACGCGGTCCCCCGGCCGAAAGCGGCACGCGGCCAGGTACTCCGCGTCGAAAGTCCGCCTATACGCCTCCGGATCCGGCAGCGACGAGGCCATGCGCGCCAGCAGCAAAGCCTGCGGCGTCCAGGAGAAAGCCGTCATAGTAGCGCTGAGATACGAATCCAGCAGCCCGCTCAGATTGCCCTTCTTGGAGATGAATTCGGGGCGGAGAGACGAGACCGGGACCGGGGCCGAAGTCACGCGCTCCCGCGCCACGACGTACTGCTCCGGATGGTGGCGGACGTCAGACGGGAGCGCTTCTTTGTCGCTGGTGCCTTCGGCCGAAGCTGCCGAGGACAAGGAATCCGGTGGGGAGATGAGCGCCGAAGCAGCGGTGTGCCGGACAAGCGAGCGCTGGAGGTAGACGATGTAAGCGGCGGGGATGGCGACGGGGGCGAGCGCGATGAGGACTCGGATTGGAGTACTGTTTGTCCCGCTGAGGCCCCCGAAGGGAGAGCTGGGGAAACTGGATAATCCCATTCTCGCCATTGTGAGTCACCTGGTTATGTTATGATATGTATGTATAACGTATATATGTAACTATGATTGATATAAACAACTGATGTAGACCAAGTATGGGTATATATAGTCGAGAGAATCGGTTATCAAAATGTCTTATGAAGGTCTGTATATGATAGTGATATTGTTAGGCTAAGAGGTAGAAATGAGAAAAAAACCAAGACCTAGTACAAACAAAATGCGGCTGCAATGCGGCTCTGGGGCTGAATCGATCGATATCTTCATGCATCCAGGAACCCCCGCGCCGAATTTGCTGGCCAAGAATTAACACTTACGATAGCAGAATCCATGTCAAGAAATAACAGGGACTACCTGTGCGTAATATGCTGGTACTAATACCCATCAGGCCTAGCCGAAATCATTAGTCACAGGTACAGGTACCGCAAGGGTCGGCTTGAAAACCCATTCCGGCTCTTGAGAATTTCATTGTTCAAATATCCTAATTTATAAACATGGGGAATAATACTGGGAATAGTTTACTATATGTATCGGGTAGAACGCTCCTCAACGCCATAATGCAATGCGTCCGTTGGAAATCCAAACGCGATCCGAATAACCCAAAAGGTATTTTAGCGCCGTATGCAAAAAGGCCACTATGCCTCGGGACGATCCAACGTGTCTAATGGCACGTATCCTTCGTCTTTCCTCGACCTTCTACCCAACACCGCTCCCGCAAGGTCCTGTACTCTAGTGACAATACCATCTAAGCCCCAACCGCGGCCGCGCTTCTTAAGCCCACCCTTGTCCGCAAGCAAAGCTTCCTCCATCCATTGCGGCCGCTTCCAGAATTTCAGGAGTAGCGAGCTAACTACAACGCTGACACTACTGCAAGCCATGGCGGCACCCGCAGCCATGGGGTGAAGATGCCATCCTATGGGAAGAAACAGACCCATGGCGAAAGGTAGGCCGATGATGTTGTACATACAAGCCCAGGTAAGGTTGAGTTTGATACGTAAGAAGATAGTACGGGCAAGGTGGAGCGCGGCGGGGATATCCATAAGGTCGTTTGGTCGCATGAGGACAACGTCCGCAGCTTCCATGGCTACATCTGTACCGCTAGACATGGCGATGCCAACATCGGCGGTAGCCAACGCGGGGGAATCGTTGATACCGTCACCAACCATGGCGACACATTCACCCCTGTCTTGAATTTCTCGGATGATGTTTTGTTTCTGGTCCGGAGATACGCCAGCATATACGTTGTCGTGCGAGATGCCAACGGACGATGCAACAGCCAACGCAGTAGATAGTTGGTCACCGGTAACGATGGCGGTCTTGATTCCCATGCTATGTAAAACCGAAATGGCCGCCGCAGCCCCTTCTTTGATGGTGTCCGCCAGGCAGAGATGACCCGCGTATTTACCATCGATAGCGATAAAGACGTTTGTCGTCCCGGCAGAAGAAGCCTTTGACTTATTTGCCTTCGAATTAATTTCTTCCGAGGCTTCAACTGCGTCTTCTGGTACCTCGATCTTGTTTTCTCGCAAGAAACGAACACTTCCGACAAGCACTTGGTAACGGGTACGCTCGGCACTGGCGGGTTCGACACGCGCACTGATACCTCGCCCGACGATGGCGTTGAACTCGCCAACGCTGCCATCAATAGCTGCCTCAGGATCCAAGCCGAGATCGTTCCGTGCCGCTGCTAGGATGGCCTTGCCAACCGGATGCTCGCTTCCCATTTCGGCTAGACCCACAATCGTCCACCAAAGACGTCGTCGCCACTCCTTATCCCGCCAGCCGGATGGCATCTTGATGCTTGCAACACTCATCTTGCCATACGTGAGGGTTCCCGTCTTGTCGAGGACGACTTGAGTAATCTTAGTCGTAGCCTCTAAAGCAGCACCGCCCTTGACCAAAATACCATTCTCTGCGCCCACGCCTGTACCCACCATAACCGCGGTAGGAGTAGCTAGACCGAGCGCGCATGGGCAGGCAAATACAATCACAGATATGCAAAGTTTGACGCAGACCATCAGCTTGCCACCGCTTTCGGCTTGTAAGAAAATCTTCGGTGGGTTAGTCAGAACGTGGCTGAGAACCATCCACGTGCTGAATGTCAGAAAACCAAGAATTAGGATGGTGGGCACGAAGTAGCCGGCGAGCGTGTCAGCTAATCGCTGAATGGGGGCCCTGGTGGTCTGCGCATCTTGCACGAGCTTGACAATTTGGCTCAGCTGCGTATCCCGGCCTGCTCTGGTCACCCGGAAATCGACTCGACCATGTCCGTTGACAGTGCCACCTATCACGTTGCTGCCCTTTCGCTTCTGGACTGGGATAGCCTCTCCGGTAACCATACTCTCGTCTACGTACGTTTCACCTCGTACGATAGTTCCATCGGCAGGAATCTTATCTCCCGGGCGGATGATCACGATATCGCCAACTGAAATGAGTTCGGTAGGAATGACTTTTGCCTCTTCTGCGTTACCATCGTGGGCTGGGGTCTCCGGCTTTTTCGATTTGGCCATGTCCCAACCTTCTGCCGCCTTCTCGGCAGCAATTGGATCGGCGTATATGGTGGCCATGGATGGAGCTAAGGACATGAGCCGTGAGAGGGCCTTTGAAGTCTGGCCCTTTGCGCGGTTCTCTAGGAATCGACCGAGTGTGATAAACGTGATAAGCATAGTACTGGTATCGAAAATAGTGCTCGGTCGGTTGTGCGGCGGGAACAGGAGGGATACAACCATGGTGAAAACGCTGAAGAAAAAGGCAGCAGATGTACCTAGAACAACAAGTACATCCATAGTTGGGGACTTGTGCTTGATGGATTTAAAAGCCGAAACGTAAAAACGCCTGCCTATGCCGAATTGAATGGGTATCGTTAAAACCAAGCAGATAACGTCGCCGAGGAAGAGACCGGGAAGTAGTGCTAGGCCACCGAAATCCAATATGGGAATCATCATAGGGAAAACCATGCCAATAAAGAATACCGGGACGGCAAAGGATAATGAGACCTGGAATGCTCTTCTCCACTCTTGAATCTCTCTCGTCTTGGCTAGAGACTCTAACTGCGCATTGTTATCATCATTGTCGGCGACTAAAGCATTAAATCCTAGCTTTTCTACTTCTTCTACAAGCGCGCGCAATCCCGTCAGGCTTGGTTGATGGGATACGGTTAGTCTAGACGTGGACGTGCTCAGCTTAACTGAGCTAACACCGGGGAGAGCGAGCAGCGTATCCTCGATGGTTTTAGCAGCCGCGGCGTCCGGATCACCGTAGATCTTGAACTGAGCCGTCGAAGAACCCCCTGAGTGATCCGACATATCAGCTAACGTTGATAGGACATTGGCGCCGAATCCCCTATCTTCAATGATTTCTGCTATCTTTTCCGGTGCCAATTTTAGGATATCGTGTGTAATAACGGCGCGCTCCGCCAATAAACTGATGTTGAACCGTAGTATACCCTCAACACCAGCAAATCCTTTCTCAATGGCAGAGGTGCAAGCACCACATGTCATACCCTCAATCGCAACCGTGGTCGTAGCAAGAGTCGATGCTTCCGAATTGGCCAATCCCGATTTCTTAACCGGTTTTGATTCTTCGCTTGAGACTAGAGTCGCGCCGAATCCTCGATCTTCGATGATCTCTATAATTTGATCAGGAGGTAGGAGAGAAGCGTCGTGTTCTATAACGGCTCTTTCTGAGAGCAGTGAAATGCTGAAGTGCATTACTCCTGTCACATCCGCGAATCCACCTTCGATAGCCGACGTACACGCCCCACAAGTCATACCCTCGACAGCAATCGTCGTGACGGTCGTTGATGGTTCATCTTTGCTATCCTCGGCCTCGAATCTCGGAGTTTGCAATGGAGTCGGTAAATCGGTTGACAGGACCTCCGCTTCGAACCCGCGATCTTCGATTATTTCTTGTACGGTTTCCGCAGGGACTCGTTGTGGATCGTGCATTACTACCGCGCGCTCCATCACCAGACTCACCGACACGCTGCCAACCCCGTCAACACCTTTGAAGCCCGCTTCAACGGCCGAAGTACAAGCGCCACAGCTAGACGAATGTTAGCTAATGGAACAATTAGACAAAGAGATTTGGGGTTCGTACGTCATTCCACCAACTCTCAAAGTGGTAGTTGCCCATCGAGGTACTGGACTCAGCAAGGAAGATCCAGTTGATCCCCTCGCTGGGACTCTGATATGTTCTGGAGCCATATTGGATGAGCGCGATTGGACTATGATTCGAAAGGGGCTGACAAAGGCGCAGACTGTGTCGCTGGTCCGTCTATTGTACGCTTCGCAAGTTTCCTATACAATGGCCGGCATGATATTATGGCTGTTCGACGATCCTCGTTGGATAAAGAACCAGTGAGAAAACAGGGTTAATCGGCAAGGCCTCGGCGCCAGGCGGAGGGGAGCAATATATATTAAATTCGGAATATGTAGGTGTGTATTGCAGGTCACAACTGGCAAATGGCGAAAGAAGAAGAAACGAAGCCTCCGGGTCGAACGATGCGATCCTTTTTTGGGGTTAAGAGCGTTTGTAAGCTACCGGGGGGCTAGGGAAACGCAACTTAAGTCGGGACTGCGTACGTAACGGTACCTAGATACAGTGGGAAAATATGAAGCGCCCTAGGACCAATCGGGTGTTTCATTGCATAGGAAATTGGTGGAGCTAACCGTATCGGGAGATTATTGGTGTTTAACCGAGCGCATATCCAGTACAGTGCGGTGTGATGACCTGGACGGTGATTCAATACAATTACGAAGTGTGCCACATCGAACCCGTTAACCTTCCCAACTCGGCAACTCCAGCGATCCTCGATGGGATCTTGGCTACAATATTTTAGATCTGAACACGTACTCGAATGATTATTGAATGCTTACGGGTGTCTATATTATATACTGAAAAAGACATACGTAGGCAGATTATAAATCAATGCGTTAAAGTAAAGGGGAAAGGGAATTGACAGTATAGAAGACTGAAGTAAATACCTTTTAAGACAAGTGCCGGTCCCCGGTATGTTCGGACCGGGCGGAATAGAACCTCTTTTAGATGTACGACCACTAAATTAGGTATGTACTTCTGAATATTATCCGGCGGTCGTAGTTTTTAATTAGGAGACCACCATTAGGTCTGCGCAAGAACGGAGGATTTGATACTCCTATTTCCAACGGATTCTTGAATTAATTATAGCCTACTCACGTGCTGACCCATCTCACGCAATATACTAAATATTTAGTATTTGTCATTTTTTCTAGGCATAAATCTGTTAACGTAAAGACTTAGTTTCCGTTGGTTCTATGGAAGGTCCGACAAACATTGAGTCCCCTTTCGAAGGTACCTAACTCCAGGTCCGTTGCAAACGAAATATGTACTTGAGTACTTGCCCAGTGCGGAGTGATAAGATAAGACAGGCAGCTAAGGCAAATGCCCCGCTACAACAGGGACCTTAGCGCTTGGAAGCTCAAACAGTCATGATACAAGACCATGATACAAGGCGACTCATTAACAACATCAAGACTGCCCTAAACATCAAACAATAGGAAATCCTGTCTTACGATCCCGCCGTTTTTTATCAGACCAGTACCTTTGTCCTTAGTTGGGTTCATAAGATCTAGCCGTTTCGGTGTACTCCCACTCCCACCATATCCAGTAATTGTAGTAATCATTGAAACGAACAAAAGCAAGGATCTCCACAGTCTACTCTCCAGGTTGTGAATCTATCGTCGTTTCATCCTATAGGGCAAGGCTAGCCGATCCGAAAGCTTAGCTATCTAGCCGTGGTTCCCTACCCTTTAGCCTTGTGAGAGACTGACGTCGTTGCTATCGCCAGCGTAACGGCGAGGTTACCTTCATCATGGAGCAGACGAAGGCTTTGAATGCTCTAGAGGTAAGGATTTCATATCTATTCCCCATCCTTACATATTCCTTGATGTAACCTATCCATGTATGCAGTAGCTAACTAGAGCGATAGCCTTACCTAGCTCTCACAAAGTCCGCAGCCGCACCCCGAGCAGCAGCTGACCTAGTCACCCAAGCCACATCCAACCCGAACACCTACGTCTTCGCGGAGCTACTCCAAGCGCCTCAGATCCAGTCCCTCAGCCAGTCCCCCGAGTACGCATCATATCTCTCACTCCTCGAGATATTCTCCTATGGCACGTTTTCGGGCTACACACAGCTCGCCGGAAAACTGCCCCAACTCAACGATGCCCAAACCCTTAAACTACGACAACTCTCCCTCCTAACCCTTGCCCGCGACCCTCACAACCTAAGCTACGCAGCCCTACAACAAAGCCTCGGGCTTCCCGACTCCCGCGCCGTCGAGGACCTAGTAATCTCCGCGATCTACGCGGGTCTGATCGAAGCACAGCTCGACCCGCGACACCAGACCGTGCACGTCTCCAGCGTCTCGCCGCTACGGGATCTAGCGCCCAACTCGCTCCCGTCTATGCTCACGGCCCTAGTCACGTGGTCCGATAGATGCACGTCCACGCTCTCGGACCTGGACGCCCAAGTCGCGCAGATCAAGTACGAGGCCAAGAAGCGATATGACGAGAAGACGGCTTGGGAGACGCGCGAGGCGAAGCTCATCGAGGAGCAGCGCAAAGTGGACTTGGTGTCTCCCCCGCAAGGAGGCGCACACAGTCGCGGACAAGGCCGGTATCTGGATACCGCGGTGGCGCGACTACGTGGCGGCCAGCGTAACGGCAAGCGTGGAAGTGGCAGCCTGGACGGGGCGCATGATTCGGATGAGGCCATGGATCTAGATGAGGAGGAGCCCGATGAAGGAGAAATCATCGGCGCAGGAGCGGGTGCGTCAAGTGCTGGGAAGAAGCAGCGGGCGAGTCGTCGGAGACTTTAGGAGGTTTACGGGAGGGTTAACGATTGACTCTCATTGAGCATTAGTTATGAGTTGATGAGTAGTAGTTTACGCATTTTCATGAACGCTAGATTCTAGCTATGGCTAGGGGAATAACCTCAATAGGCTAGGTAGACTTGCAGAAGAGAAGTCTTACGATGACACGGGCAAAGGAAAACTAGAAAGAACATCATACAGATTTTGACAGTGGTAGTAACAGACGAACTACTCATGCCTAAATAAGGCGCACCAAAATAAATCAAGCTTACGAACTACGTTTGTAACACAGAATGAATCTGGGTATATGGAAATCATGTGTAGAATCAATTGCAACCTGCCTAACCATGAGGTTTGACAGTCTTGACTGCTTAGCTACTTTGAGTATTGTACACAACGCTCAGCAAATCGATTAGCGAGGCAAAATACCCTTGACAAAAGCGTGGAGACTTGTCCGTAGCCTCTGATTAAATAAGTCCATCACTGGATAAAAGACGAAGAGAAAATATTCCTCCAGCAGCACGCTCAAACGAGCAGTGCCGCCGAACCAAATAAAGGGACTCAAGATATGACGAATCCATACGCCACGTGCCGCGCCCTCCCCCCTTTTTCCTCCCTCACACATTTATGATGGGCACGTCTCTTCGGGAAATGGCAAGAACAAAAAAGAAACCTGGAACGAAAGCTTGCTTGCTTGTGCTTGGTGGTATCACACTCCCCTCCCACTCTAACCGTGGCAGAGTATTATTCAAGACTTAGAAGTACCTAAGTCTTCGTAAACCCGAGGCTCGAAACTCCTGGAAACAAAATGGGGTCATGACGTCGTAAAATGCAGTGCACCAATGGCAAAAAGAGAAACCGAATGCTTTTGCTGAAACAGGTGATGGTATTATTCGGGTTTATAACCTGTGACCGGGCACGAAGATGAACAGCACGCATAGTGCTGCATCAACTAGTGCCGTCACGGCTAGAACCACGAGTGAACGCTGGATCAGCAGCTTGCGAACATACGGCTCTCTAATGCGGGTGAACTGCAACGGCGTCAACTCGCTAAAGCCTGCAAGTGCCATGATAGGATCCAGAGAGTACTGATAGGATGCCAGGAAGTAGACGCCAATGGTGAATGGCAGGATTTCCTATATAGGTTAGATAAATGTCCAAGTTAGGTTTTCAAAATAGTACGGAATACATACCCAGCATCGCTCCAGACGGGAACGGTCGAGGAAGATTAAGTTGAATCCTGTCCAGAAAGCTCCGAACAGAGCGATAAGACCAATAATCAATCTCGCAATGAGAGTAGGAGGAACTAGATTGCCAAAGGCACGAGCACGTAGGAAGCCCGGGAACGCATCTCGCTCCATCGCCTGGAACACATAATCCTTGGCGACGTCGAAAATCTCGGGATCGTCACGGTTCTCTTCCTCGATAGCTTGGGTAATCTCTGCCGCAATGGAACCGTCCAAGGTAATCTCGCGCTCGGCACCAGGGAGCAGGAACGTGTAGAGGATCTTTTCCGCAGACGCTCGAATATCCCGTCGGGCCACGCTGTGCTCAGGCGAATTCGAGTCGGTGATCTGATGCGGCGTGCTGGAGCTGAGCTGGGTGCTAGCTCGGGCTCTTCGCTCCTGGCTGCTAGCCGGGGAGTCGTGGATGCCACCAGGTATGGGTTGCTCACGCAGATAGGTGGAAATATGCGCATCCCGCTCTCTTCCCTGTTCGTCACCAAATCTCGCAGGTCCTGAAAAATCGCCCATTGCTTCCAAAACTCTAGAAGATCGCTTAGACTCCTCCGTCTCTAGGTCAGGTGTGCCCACAAGAACGGACCGCCTAAGCTCCCGAACGTAGTGACGGCAGAGCGACATATGCTGCGCTACGTCTAGCCTGTTCTTTTATCAGCAAAATAAACTTTAGTATCCCTAAAATGCACCGTACCAGAAATCTAAGTAATCAACAGAACGTTGCTGATCTCGCATGTAGATATAGAAAGAGAACAGATCGACGGGCGGATGTGTGCGACGACATAGCACCTCGAAGAGCGTAGGCAGCCGATTCCGTACCGTAGCGTCGGGAGATAGTGACGGCTGATGCGCCTCCTCCAGAGTACCACTGTACGCCATCTTGAAGAATTCTTGCTCGGCAATTGCAAGAATTCGGGATAATTGACGGGAAGGTCAACGCCAAAATGCGTTTGTAGAACGGTTATGAGCCGAGCTCTCCCTTGAAGGGGAGGCTGCAATCGTGTCTATTGTCGTCGCGTAAAGTACGATAGGAATAATGAGAATAGCAGGACTGATTGAGGCAATTGTCGGCGTGCAAACTCAGTTACTTGATCCGAATGAATTATGTCGCTTCGGGTTGTTGTATACAATCGAAACGAGTGAAATTGCGCTCGGCGCAGGGTGATGACGACTGTATAGAATTTGTCGAAAGGAGAGAGAGCGACGTGGACCGAACGTGGATGTTGGCGTTGGCGTTGGGCGAGAAACCGAAAACTGGAAACTGGGATCTGGAAACTGGGCAATCCACAGGAAAGGCAGTGTAGGATGATTGTCGGCCGTGGTTGCTGGTTGATTTGGCGCCTGGGCCACCGTGATTGCTTGAAAATGGGAAGTAGCTCGTAGCTGTCAAATTAAAGGGCCAGGGGTTGAGAGAACTCGTGGCACAGTAGGTAGTAATCAGCCACACTGACTCTTACACAGAAGACATTAGATAGGTTCACAAAGGATCATGGAAATTTGTGTGAAGGAATAAAACTTGAAGGAATGAATGTATGTATTTGGCAATTGAAATCTGTATGTATGTCAGCGTAGCAGGCTTGCAGCTTCTAGCTACCTACGATTTGTTGCTATCACGACGGGAACTGTCACCCCTTAGGCATTACTGGTTTTGGTTTAGATTCTTGAGATTAATGCAGGCGGATTACGTAGGTGTGTGAAGTACATGTACCTTAGGTACGTAACGTAACCCATAAATTCTCTCACAGGCAGTGGACCTCTGTTTAGGTCAACACAGATCTCACAAGCCACACCCCACCAGCCTTCAAATGCTGTACTAGCCACAGTCAAATCCCACAACCCTAAGTTTGATTGGTTCGGCTAGCGAATTGATCCTCCTGCCCTCAGTTTCCCACATCGAGGTCTTGAATTTTCAATTTCGCAAAGCTAAACAACATCACGACCGAACTTTTCCGACCAACACCCAGACATCAATCCAGTAAGAATTCCGCGCGCCAACCATTCCCTTCGACCACGTAAATAATTCTAATCACGGTTCCTTATTCAGAAATGTCGTCGAAAGGAAAGAAGCCCGCCACCAAGTCGGCCATCGAGCAGGTCGTGTCCCGCGAGTACACCATCCACCTCCACAAGAGAGTACGTCCACCGCGCGTCAGAACCGAGCGCTGTTCGATGCAGAATTTTTATCGAAGGACTAAATGCTGATGGATTGAGTAGCTGCATGGTGTGACTTTCAAGAAGCGGGCTCCTCGGGCCATCAAGGAGATCAAGGAGTTTGCGCAGAAGGCTATGGTACGGCAAACCACACACATCACCCACCCACCTCCATTCTCCCAATCCAATGCACCACACGCTTCGGCATAATTACGAGAGATCATCAACCCAGCTAACCATCTTTTTAGCAAACCTCCGACGTCCGCCTCGACCCTCAACTGAACAAGAAGGTCTGGGAGCAAGGTGTCAAGGGTGTTCCGTACAGAATCCGTGTCCGAATTAGCCGAAGACGAAACGACGAAGAGGATGCCAAGGAGAAGCTCTACAGCTACGTTCAAGCCGTCAACGTTAAGAACCCCAAGGGTCTGGTGACGGCCGTGGTCGAGGAGTAAGGGAAGGCAAAGGAAAAACATCGTTTCGTTGAGATACCGGCTGGGTTCAAGAAGGGCATGGTTTCGGAGTTACCTTCTGGCTTCATGACATTAAGATAAGATTCACTAGTTGATGAATCAAGAACCGTGAACAATATTTACTTATTTTGTGACCCTCCCGCTCGATACTTGGAGATGCTATGATAGCATTTGCGAATGGTTTTCTCACGTTATACGAGCACATCATGATGCATCAATCCATTATCAATTGTTAGCAATCGTTAGCAATTTGTGCAATACTGCCGCATGTCATGTTGTAAGGAAGTGCTATCTCCAGCCTGGAACTACCTGTAAATGCAATGCATACGAGAAGCTGAGACAGCTGAGCCTCGTTGCACGAACCGTGCAAGAGCTGACTCCGTTCTCCATGTTGGTTGACCCTCAACCACCCAGATATATGAAAACTTGAGGAACGAAGGGTATAATAAAGACCATCTAATCGTCGTCTACATCACGATGACGACCCAGCACTTTCCTCTTGAATTCCTCCGCATCCTTGTCCCATAATTCCGCAGCCTCGCCATTTAATGGGGAAGAGCTACAATTAAGTTAATTTAGTCAAGACCCATGGGTTCAATGGAAGATAGCTTACTTGTTCGGCTCTCCGAGCAGACTTTGCAGACTTAGCAGGACGGTCTGAACGTTGTACGCAGCGGTCCACTTGTCCTTTAGAATATCGAGGCAAATGCGGCCGGAGAAGTCTACATTCGGGTGGTAGATAGGCGTCTTGAACAACACCGTCGGTGGGGCATAGGGATAATTGGTCGGGAAAGAGAAGGATAGCTTGAAGGTAAGACCAGCATACGGAGTATCGTCAGGACCCTCGATCGTCGCGGACCAGGACATCAGGTTTCCATCCGCCGACGGGAAGGCCGAAACACCAGGGGCAGGCGAGGTCATCAACTGCATAAGCTCTGTCTGCAATCTACGGCTTATTAGTACAAGGTATGACCAACGAGTGCAAATTAGAGGCCATCACTACGGCATACCTTTTCGTCACACTCTGTGCATCTGGGCCCTTCCGTGTGCTACTGAACTTGGCCGCTTCGACACTGCCAGGTGCAGAATTTTGGCTATCTTCGGCTGCGTAGTCCATTTTGGCTAACGATTAAACGATTAATCTTGCCCGTTGATAGCAATGTCAAGCGAATTTCCAGGTAGATATTAGAGAATGCGACGGATTGGATAAAGGCCGAGTCAAGCTACTCGATTCGGCAGTACCCCCTAGTCAATGGATTGCGGTAAGAGAGGAAATAGACGAAGCGAGTCGAACTGGAATGCAGTGGCTGTTAGCGATGAAAGGTATGGGAGTGCACCGCATCCAATTGATAAAAGTTCCAGTAAGAGACAGAAAGAAACTCGAGGTTGAGGAATGCTATTTACGAACCTCTTTGATACTATGTGTCTTAGGAAATGTAACAATAGGAAAATGACGAGATGCAGAATTTAGAATAGAAAAATAAGTGAGGCAGGATCTACGAAGTAATTGTGAATTTGTAAACAACGTTGGCCGCTTGTCCCCGCCAGCCAAAAATCCTATGGCAACCGCGACCGGTCGATGGACCCCTGTCGAAGTAGCGCCGTAGCGCCGTATGGCCTTATCTTACGGGGGGGCAGTGGCTCTCCTTTTTGCTTTGCTTGTTACCTTAAACCCGAAAAGTCACCACTAAGGCAGCAGCAGCAGCTCTGGCCATGACAACAGGGATTTTAATGGCCTCTGCGGGGTGCATTGTCCACTAAAAGCCATTTGTAGCCAATGAACGCTGGTCTTCGCGCGAGACAACCTCAAACAAAAACATCTAAACACTCTTGACTCAACCTCTAATTAGTAAATTAGTATTTCAACGCGACAAGACGCGTTTATAAGTTATTATGGTATGTTTCCAAATTTCCTCTTTCTCAAACGCGCATCTCAATTTATTGGTTTATTATATCCCGTCTTGTTGAACCAGATATCCATAATCCATATTGGATGATCAGTCGCTACATGTTCATGCATGATTCGCTTAGCGGTTTATACGTTTAGTTTTCATCTGAGCAAATCATTTCGTCCGAAAGTTACCAAATAGGAGTTATCTTTACTAAACAAAATGATGCAGTCTCAATTAGACCCTCTACCGGATGACCTTCCCTTCCGATTTATATCAAAGACGATAGGAAGAGGAGCATATGCATCGTGAGCTCACTTACACCATATTTCACCGTCTCCACTCACTCCGATTATGTACTGACTAATACCTCAGAATCAAAAAGGCCATACCTTTGGATGCCCAATCACCAGTCTTTGCGGTCAAGTTAATTCACAAAGGCTACGCAGTTAAACATGGCCGCATCTCAGCTAAACAGATTGCTATGGAGGTGTCCTTACATTCTCACATCGGCCAACACCCGAATATAATTGAATGGTTTGCGACAGGCGAAGACCATATCTGGAGATGGATAGCGATGGAGTATGCCGAAGGAGGCGACCTCTTCGACAAGATTGAGGCAGATGTAGGCGTCACGGAAGATATTGCCCAGGTCTATTTCCATCAGCTCATCAGTGGCGTGAGCTTCATGCATTCGAAAGGGATTGCGCATCGAGATCTGAAGCCGGAAAACATATTAATGTCAGACAACGGAAACTTAAAACTAGCGGATTTCGGCATGGCGACAATGTTCGAATACAAGGGCCAACGAAAGCTAAGCACAACGATGTGCGGCAGTCCGCCGTACGTTGCCCCTGAAGTATTAGCAGGCGGCCGAGTAGATAAGAAGTCTAGTGAAGTAACCAAATACTCGGCCGAACTGGTGGACATCTGGTCGTGTGGTGTCATCCTATTCGTCCTCCTGGTGGGAAACACGCCGTGGGATGAGCCAACCTCGCAGAGCTGGGAGTACCAAGAATATAAGAAAACGAATGGCCGAAGTACGGATAGTCTATGGGAACGAATACCTGCAGAGGCCCACTCGTTGCTCAGGGGTATGATGAGTATCGAACCGAAGAAGCGATTTACGTTTGCCCAGATACGACAACATCCTTGGTACACCCGCCACAACAAATTCCTAGCCGCAGATGGCCAGATCAATGATCCCATAAATCTAGCAACGAAGATGCTAGAGAACCTACATATAGACTTCAGCCAACAGGCTCCCTCATCACAACGCCAGTCGCAATCACAAGATTCTATGGATATAGATGGCGGCTCGTCTCATAAGATATCCTCCACACAACCAGAAACACCAATTAACGATGTTCTATTCGACTGGGAGAGACCGGTTCTCCGTACCTTAACCGCGTCCTCCACACAGCCTATCTCCCGAGCAGACGCAACATTACCAACACAGTCTAGTAATTTCTTCGACGCCCTGGCCGAGGAACCCTCCATGAGCCAGTTCTCGCAGACGCGCGGGGTGCCGCTCAGCCTAACACAGCACGCACAGCGCTTCAAGGATATCGTCCCCGCGCATTCATTTACTCGCTTCTTTTCGAATATGCCACCGCAGCTACTTGTCCAGATGCTCAGCGATGCGTTGCACAATCTCAGCGTGCCACTACCGTCGGGGCCGCCATACGTCGGCCAAGGTGATCACGTGTCTACTTATAAAGTTAGGACGGTGGACGATCGCAAGCAGGGACTTCACGGGGAGATCCTTGTCGACAAGTACTTATTACCCGAGTCGCAGGAGCTACTCGAAGTGCGATTCGTCAAGCTGAAAGGTGACCCGCTCGAGTGGAGACGTTTCTTCAAGAAAATAGTGTTGCTGTGCAAGGACGGCGTCTTCAAACCGGAGGACTAGAGGGACCGGCCGGTTCACCCAGATATTTGATTTGGGGTTATATAATAGGACGGCCATCTCGGATTAACAGGACGGAACGTAAAGGGGTGGAATATTATCCGGAGTAGGTCTGCTGTATATTTTTTGCGCATAGGGGATACGGAAAAATTATATAGCGGTTAATGTTAGGGGGGTTGCTTATTGATAGACTCGGCTCAGGTATGGCTTTTACCAGGGCTGGATGCGGCATACATAGTTTCATTGTATTCTTATATGCTCTCGTGTATGCTAGGGGGTTGATTGCGTTGCTTTTTGTGAGATATTTGCGAGCTTAACAGGGTGGCTTATCACCGAAAGTGCCAACCAGGTACCACGATACAGAATAGGCCCCTTCATACTATAAAGGAATTTATGATTAATTCAAACACGGAGTGACCTTCTTTATATAGTATGTGCTGGCCCTGAACTGAATCTTGATTAGCTAGAGGATGATTTTGTAGTTACCTGTTGGCACTTCAGGAGATGACCCAGGACGTTGTCCAGAGGCTTCAAGCACCAATTAGCAACATACTATGCTATTCTTTCATTTTCTTCTAGTGTCTCTAGCAAAGGGTATAATAAGGATAGGAATTGCGCCCTCAAACTGAACCCTTACACACAAGGCAAAGTGGCCACGTTAACTATTTCCCAAAGTATCATTTCTATGGAGCTACGCTACTCTAATAGCTTATCATGTTTAACTTATGGTTTACCATTGTACTTTAAGGGGCCTAATGGCTATTCGTAGTATAAAATAAAGGTGACCTCCCGGTTTACTAGACATCACAGAGCGAATACTTCCACGTATTAGACTCCAGTCTCGGTACAGTTGGCCAGCTTGAGGCAAAAACATACACGTCCATTCACAATCAGACATTAACAGGCACCTAAAGTAAGCTGTAAAAGCTTTTTTTTAATCGTATCTAAGGTACGAGAAGATCTAATTACCTAACGAGATGACGAACACACGGACAAGCCACGCGTATTATTGATTAAGTCTTAACGTAGGCTCCCAGGCAATTCCATCCTAGATCAACTTCGTAACCGAAAACAAACGATGATATCCTCAACCAACAGGGGAGAATACGCAAACGATCAGTTAGGTAGATACCTAGATCCATCCAGGCGGACAATTGGGGTCTCTGTTCTGTACATTCCGTCCACGTTGTTGCTGCTGCTGCTCGTTCCGCTCGTCATCCAAGCGCTCGTAACCGCCATGCTGATAGCCGAGCCAGCGATCCCAGGCGCCTCGGACGGCGCCCATGCCCCGCTGAACGAGGCTTCGGGTGGCGTTTCGGCCGCGCTGGAATGTGTGCCAGCCGTGGGGGTAGCAGTTGTGCCATTGGGTGGCGTTGGTGTATCGGATTACGCCTGTGTAGGTGCCGTCGTAGAGGAAGGTCACGCGGTCCATCATCAGCGTGGCTTCGTCGACGGGTTGGGTCACTGTGGGGTGAGGGGGTTAGTAAGTGCTTCTTGGGGAGGGGTTGTATGGTGGTAGGTATGTTGGTAAGTGAGTATGTAGGTAGGTGTATAGATAGGTAGGTAAGTAAGACATGTAGGTGTTTATTAATATTTAGGGGTAAAGATTTCATGATAACTTGACTAGCAAGGTTTCATTCATGAAGGATAAATCAAGGGTGGGATGGAAGAGAAAACTGAGAATCCAACTTACAAGGTAACTCATACTCATCAGCACCAAGAGGGTACTCCATCATTCGTCCGACAATATCGCCGGAGTTGATAGGTCTTTGGAAACCCAAGCGGCGCGGCCAAGACGCACCAAGTGATCGGTCATCAGTTCGCACATCGAAGCCCATATCGTGAACTCCAGCTTGAATAGCCAGCCAGATCTCACGGCGTGTGTACACGCGAGGTCGGCCATGCAGAGACGTACAAAACACGTACGGGGGGATCTGGTTAGCAGGATTCTGTCGGTTGTACTGGGCGATCATGTCTTCCATCATAGCCGGCTGTCCGTTGCCTAACTGTTCGGTGAACGGATTGTGGTGTCGCCGCGGAGGGCTAGGGACGTTGCGAGGATCCTGATAGTTCGAGTCCTGAGAGGCGGGTGGCTTAGTTGGCACAGGAATGTTGCTGGTCGAAGTGATGGTGATTGGGAGTCCGAAAAGAGCATTGAGTGCTCCGAACTCGCCAACTGCAGAGTCCTGGAGATGAGGCCGTGGTTAGTATCGTGCGAGTCTCCAAGAGAGCAGAGACATTTCTAATAGGGATACTCTAAGGAAGAAAATATATCACTCATCATATTGTCAATTTAGAAACTTACCTGCTTGAACATGACGACGAGATCGAAAGTGGGAGCGGCCTGGCTTGCCGTGACGGTAGCGACGGTATTGTCGACTTCAGGCTGGCTCATCGCCATCGATCCGGAGACATGAATAGCGACGAATGCCACCAAGGTGGCAGCGAGATAGTTGAAGAGAAACATCTTGAATACCAAGTTTGGAGGGTAATTGCCAAAGTGAGCGTTGTAGATCTCTCTTGGAAGCTTGGTGAGCAGCAAGAAATGCTTGAGATTTCTTCGCACTTTGAGAAGTTGTTGCAAACTGAAAAAAACTCCAAGATGGGGAAGAGGATGGTGGGAAATAAATAGGTAACAAATTAGGAAAAGTACCTGACGAATTTTTCCTGTGCTTAGTCGCTCTCCTGCTCAGCAACCCAATGATATGCTGCGATGGTCTGGCACCTGGGGCTCCTTCTCCGCCTGCTCTAAGGTATCTATCTCTTAGGGCCCCCATGGACGCATATGCGACTATAAAGACGTTACTAAAGAGGCTGAGGCGGGTATGCGGAGCTTAAGGAGGATGCGAGTACACTGGACAGTGACGAGCTATTCCTCGAGACTTCCTAGAGGTCCTCAGGCCTTATGCTACGATATTTGCTTATGGTAGGAGGGAAGATTACTAGCTTAGTCAAGAGAGAGGAACGACGACGACGGTGTGGTTGCTTGTGATCCGCACTTGAGATATTTCATATATGTCAACGACGACGTGGTTAGTCTCGACATGACACGACTACGGACCTATTGACGATTCACTGTACATTAACAATAAAGGGGTATGCGAAGAAATATAGTGACCGTCTAAGAGAGTTTCTCATTGTCCAAGGGACGCCGTTTGTGATCTTCAGTGCTTGTAGAAATGTATACCTGGCATCTGCTGTCACTGGTAAGGTAGCCCCTGGGACTAGACGAGTTTGTATGGATGAGCTTGTATTTACTTTCATCTTACCATGTGCTCATTTGGGTAGAAATTGTAACTGTACTACGGTTCCTCGAAGACTGCTAGATCTGCGAGTAGATACACTATGGCTGGCATTATACGACGTCATGCTGTAAATAAATATGTTGTAGTCCGTAACAAGGCCATGGTAAGTGTTGGTAGCTGCTTATGGCATGGTGAAGAGAGCCTGTTGAAAAGATAGGATTCTACATATTATAAGAGAATGATAAATATAAATATCAGCATATGAGTTTTACAGGATTCGTCGATAGCCTTGGTAACTATGCTTAACAGGTATTTCTACAATGAGCGCCTTCATAACCAAGAGCCTCATTTGAATATTTGTTTTATAGCTACCTGTTAGGTAAACTTACACGATACTATCACTGAGGCATGATAATATGGTATCACGAGTGTCCTGTAGCGATTGTATTAGTATTCGGGGAAGTTTGTGTATTACGGTTATGAATACCCCGTACGAACCATAACAATCATTCGACATGGCGCACACTGAAGCTACGTCCATAAGAAATACCAATGGTGCGGTGGGTATCTCGAGCCAACCATGTGTAGCTAATATACCAGGAAGTACGGCATTAGGAAAGCGTAAGTACCTCTTAATGCTTGTAGTGGCCATATTGATGAAGTCAAATATGGTTCGTAGAAGAAAGGGCGGGCATGCTCTACCAGTTTGGTTATATCTAAAAGACTGTTCTGGAAGGCCGAGGAGCTGTTTCGAACATAAAGGCAAGATAGGCTGGAGTAGATTATTGAAACATTGTATTTATTTTAAGTAAATATAATATCTAACGCTTCAGTAAGGGGGCATCTTGTGTTCACTCCCGTGAGGCTTATTCTAGGATATATTTGTAGCAATTCATTGCGGTGGTTAGAACGATGATAGGTAAGTTGGTCTATGCCTGAAGGGTGTGTGAGGGAATTTACGTAAATGGTTATATCTATTATACTTATAATCCAGCAAGTAGCTATGATGGAAAGGGTGACCGTAACTAGACCACTTGTGAGACATTTTGATTTAAATTGTATTACAAAATGCATGATGTGTTGCTAGAGTCTGAAGAACCCAACTGTGTCCTTGGTGTGTTAAAGGTAGACTTATGTATTAGACCCCGAAAGATTTTTTGTTTGATTCGTCTTCTCCATATGATTTTGGAGTAATAAATCTTTATTTGTTAAGGGAGTATTTTTATTATGGTAGGGCATTCATCATATTTATCAAATCTAAAACTACAGCTCCTGACTCCTTTTTCGGGGAGAAAAAGAAATAGGGGTAGAATGCTTAGTCATCATACGACCCATATAAAAACCTTTATCGATAAATTCGGCAGCTATCCGAGCTTTGAATCTTCCGCCAAACCGATACGTCATGCAAACCTTCAATTATTTCCATCATTTTCACCCTTCCGGTTTATTGTCTTTGTCTATATCTAAAGGTCTACCACACTAGAGTTTCATCTATTCATACTTGCGCGTGCTATTCGTTTCTTAGTCCTTTTTGCCTTAGTAAAACTTGAGAAGCTATAGCAACATTGCTTTGACCTTGAACCCAACATATTCGACGACCGAATATTTACTTTATATCAAGCAGCTATACCCCTGAATAAGACCATCTTGCCGAACATCCCATTCTACACCGATGCAGATACAAACACCGATACGACAATAGCGTTGAAAGACCAATTGTGAACGAGTTCTTAATTTGAGCTCACCAAGAGACTCAAGGACGCATCTCACTAGACATACATACAAACGGCGATTCGCTAAACCAATATGGCGGCAAAAGGAGATTCTGTTCGTGGAGCATCCGGTCGCTCGCCCATGCGCTTCATCTCCGTCGATAACGTCTTACAATATAATTCCGAAATACCGTCCGGCCAACCGCGTATCCCTCCACAACGAGGCCCCCGTAGCATTCCCGGTGTACGACGCGTGAGTGGAGGTGGCCTTCCTAATCTTGCGTCGCGCACGGGGCAGCACAATATGCCGTCACGGACAACTAGAATCAGTGAGAAGCTGGTTTTATTGCCCGAGACGGTTGACGATTTTGAAGGACCCGACGAAGAAATCGAGTCTGCTTTTCGCGAGGACGAGTCGAGACCATTGAAGGACGAAGAACTTGACGTTTTGAGGAAAAGGGGTGGGCTGCGTGGGAAGAGCTATGCCGAACGGCTACCTAAATTTGAAAGAACGGAGAAGCTGTCGAGGCTCACGGCCTACTGTACTGCGCAGTCTTTCAAGATGAAGTCGACTTCGGAATTTCTTCGCAAGAAGCACGACGCTAAAACGAAGCTCTACGACGACTGTCTCTATACCGTATACCATCTCCCGCTACTACCCGGCGTGGACGGTTGTCGCGTGAGGAGTCGGCCGATACTCAAGACCCCCGGCACGGGCAAGACGGTTTTGGATCTCGAAATCGAACGGAGCGAACGAAGAGACGAACATATGGGCTACTACGACGAATATTCATACAACGAACAAAGCGGAAGTCCCAACCAGGAGAATGGTAGCTACGAATCTGTGTCCGAGGATAGGAGTCAGGATACCGAAAGTAACCATTCTCAAGACTATCAGTCCCTGAATCCTGTTAATAGACTTGCACCTGATGCTAAGCAATTTGCCGAGATGTTTGTTTTCTCGTATGGTGTTGTTGTATTTTGGAACTTCACCGAAGCGCAGGAAAAGGCCATTCTAGCCGATATCACATTTGCAGAGACTGAGAGCGGGACACCGCTAGTCGTGCGACCCCTTGACCAGAGCGATGTCGAGACGGAGGAGTTTCATTTCGAGTACAACGCGGATGTAAAGAGGCCGCGTATTTTCAACGATATGATTACGTTACTGCCGCGGTCGGATCATATGGTTAAGCTCACCATCAGCCACGCTATTGCACAGAGCACCAAACTCTGCTTCTTCGAAGAGCGCATGTCTGAAACCATGTTAAACGCACAGGATGTACCGAAGCGGCTAGCTCTTACTGGAGAGTTGAACATGACGAGGACTGAAATAGTGAAGATTCTTGGCCGTCTATTTAAGAGCCGTGTCGACATCAACCTCTGTAAGTCATATGAATCCCCGAGAACATTTAATTATAACTAACGAGTCATGCTAGCATCGAACATTCTTGACGTTCCTAATTTCTTCTGGGACTCCGAACCTACTTTACACCCACTTTATGTTGCTATTCGTGAATATTTAGAGATTGATCTCCGTACGAAGGTGCTCAATGAACGATGTCGCGTCTTCCTCGACCTTGCCGAGATATTATCAGACTCTGTCGCCGACGCAAAGATGAGTGCCATCACATGGATTGTCATTATTCTCATTGTCGTCAGTATCCTCGTCACCGTGACTGAAGTTGGTCTGCGGTTCGGGATGCTCTCCAAAGAGCGAGGTGAAAATAACGGCGTGTCAAATCCCCAAAACATCCTCGGTGAAGGGTGGGTTGCTGTTAGATCTAATGCTACGCTCGAGCAACTAAGGCAATGGGGCGTGAACTTGAACGAAGAAGAGAAGGCCGCCGTGTGCGGCATGGATTACATTGGGACTACGTTCGCGGGCATCTAATTTTCTTACCCGCGGTTTTCTCCTACAGCACATGCATTTTAGGGTGGTGGAAAATAGGCGCAGGGGAGCAATAATTCTGATACCCATACACAGGGCCTTTGGCGCATTTGTCTCTTAGCCATTCGAAGTATGTCTGCATCACCTTTTAATGTGAATTAACAGTATTTTGATAGCCGAGATCCAAAACCCTCACTAATTCCCTGTTATATCAGGTACTTCGAATCTATTCTGAATCGTTTATAAATCGTGAGACATTTATGGCATATGCTACTAATTAGATATACAGTCGTTCCCTTCATGGTATGTTCAGTACGTCGTCGACGTTGACTACCTGCCCCGTAGCAATGGACCGATTCGCGGCGATACCGGTTAGAATGGACAACGCGCCATCGACATGGCTCGCGGCTCGCATATACTCGTCGGTCGTGGGCTCGCCAAAGAGGTCATTAAGAAGCACAGCGTCACCACCGCCATGAGCGCCAACACCATCCGAAATCTCAATCTCTTGCGGTTTCTCAAACAACTTGCGCAGCGTGATCGTCCGCTTTTCCAACGACCCTTCCGCCGCTTGATCGCCCCCCGAGTTCACATAACTATTCTCCACAACCTCCATCTCCAACCGTCCCCCGGTCCCGTTAAAACTCACCCTAAACCCTTCCCACGGCGCATACGCCGTCAGCGAATACGTCAGCACAGCGCCATTGCGATACCGCACGAGCAAATTCATCGTGTCCTCGATACTAATCCCGTCCCCGAACACGCTCTGGTCCCGGTAATACGCGTCCTCGTGCTCCGCGTCGAGATACATGGCTTTGAGCTGCGGGTGGTCCTCTAGATGCAACGCAAACGGATCTTCTTTGGAGTTTTCGTTGCCGTGCGCGCGCGCGTAAAATGCAGATGGCGCGACGCCGCGGAGCTCGGCGTTCTCGCGCCCGTAGAACTTCAGGTCGCCTTGGGCGTAGACGGTCTGCGGCCGCGTGCGCAGCCAGAAGTTTACCAGGTCGAAGTGGTGCGTGCTCTTGTGCACGAGCAACCCGCCGCTATTGCGCTTGTCCCGGTGCCATCGCCGGAAGTAGTCGGCGCCGTGGGACGTGTTCAGCATCCACTCGAAGTGCACGCTGGTGACGGTGCCGATGGCGCCGGAGCGCAGCAGCTCGTAGACTTTGGTGTTGTGCGGCGCGTACCGGTAGTTGAAGGTCACGCGCACGCGACGGCCGGGGTTCCGCTCCACGGCGTCGATGATGGCGCGGCAGCGCGGGGCGTCGATGGTCATGGGCTTCTCGGTGACGACGTTGCAGCCGAGGTCGAGCGCTTTGGCGATGTATATGTTGTGCGTGCGGTCGATGGTCGTGACGATGACCTCGTCGGGCTGGGTCTCGCGGATCATGCGCTCGAAGTCGGCGGCGGGGAACGTGGGAACGGCGCCGTGGCCGAAGGCTTCGAGGTTCGCGTTGGCGAAGTTCATGCGCGTCTGGTTCGTGTCGCATATGCCGACGATGCGTGACGTTTTGGCGTAGTCCTTTGCGATGGCTGTGTAGAAGAATATCGCGCGGCCGCCGGTGCCTACGATGGCGTACTTTTTACGCGAGGGGCGGAGGGGGGCGGTTATGTCGACCATGGTGGTGGTGTGTTCACCGTGAGAGAGATGTGTTGGACGGCAAGATCTCTTAAGCTGTTGGTGGTATGAGAGTTGTTTTTAAGAGTAATATGTAAGTCTTAAGCGACGACCTTGACTATGAACGCTCTACTGTTCAAGATAATAGTCTTATAAATAGCTATTTGAAGCAACCTCTCTATTACTCCCCGGCTGCGTGAAGAACTTGATATTTCACGAGAGAGGGGATAATCTATCACCGCTTCGCTTGAGCCGTTATCGCTGTCGGGAAAATACCCTGCGAAGTACACAGCTGACGGGTTGGAGAAGGTTGGGGTAATGTTTCCAATGCTTCTCCAGAAGTCAAGTCAAGTGTTAATAGCTCGCTATAGTCTTCTTAGTTGAGACTTGGCAGTTGGCTGGTCTAGCTGAAGAAGGGATGCCGTTTAGCGAGCGAGAGCTTCTCTCACATGGCTTACATATTAATTATGAAAGCCGCGTTTCTAGACTATTTCTAGCTAGGTATGTACAGCGTCGTAAGTCTACATGTCTCTAGTTGGCAAGATATCTGCCGAGGGTGATGAATGGGGTTTAAGCAGCAGCGGGGATAATCCATTAGCTGGATTTCTCATTTAGCCGTATCTGGGGTTCGTCTCCGCCTCCGCCTCCGCTGGACTCGCGGATGCGGGGATCCTGGGGTCGAACTAATATGCTATAGGGAACGAGTTGTCCTTGTCCAATGACGCGTTGTCGGTCTCCATTCTCGGTTATCCCGTAGCGGAATCCTTCCAAGCTAGGTAACTGCTGTCTTGATTTAAGTTGAAAGACGATACGATAGTCGATTTCGGGTAAACGTGTCAACGCTCGTAGCGCCAAGCGCACAGGTAAATAGGGGTTGGGCTTTGACGATACCTTGACCTTGACCGTAGGTTAGTGATTACGCGTGGAATCTTATATTTCCACCAATGGGGGCATATGCCGACACTTATCGGCTACACTGTTAAACGTCGTGTTCGTTTAATTTCAGATAGCTGTCCCGTTTGATATTCAACTAAATGAGGTTGTCGTAATACTGATTATGGTGTAACGGCTGGTATGCTCATAGGTTGTCGTATGAGTATAAATGAGACGAGATTACTCTTAGATCTTGACATATGATAGGTATTAGCTTGTCCTGTCGCCGTCCGAAAGAATGGCATGTGTAGGTAGGTATCTCGGAAACACTTACACGCCTAGCCTGCCGATGTTCCTCTAACAAGGATCTCCGCACCCCCAACTTGCCGTCTTCCCAGGTGTCTGGAACCACCCTTCATATAAGGAGTTATATATGACCACCACCCTTGTATGGAAAGTGATCACCAGCCTTAAAACCAGCTAGACCCCATTTTCGATGAAATTATCTTCGTGTTCCCTCGTGTAGATGCTGGCCCGTTGAGTGCTCTAGTAATTAGACATAGACGACATGACGGACAATACGCCGAAACAGGTACCAGCGGCGGCTGATGCTGCCGACGTCATAGCGCCCGTAGAAGAAACCACTGGGCATGTTCACGCCGTCAGCTCGCGAGCAGATAAAGCCGCCCAGTTTATCGCCGAGCATGGCGAGATCACCTTCACGTATGAAGAGGAGCGCGAGGTCCTCCGACGTATCGACCTACGGATTCTCCCTCTCATCCTCGGCGCTTACTTCTTCCAGCAACTAGACAAGTCGTCCCTTTCATACGTGTCTATCTTCGGTATTATGGAAGATGCCAATCTTAAGTCGATAGAATACTCATGGCTTGGATCTATCCTGTATCTTGCGCAGCTCATCTTCCAGCCTCTTGCTGCTTTTCTGCTGGTGAAGCTTCCTACTGGAAAAGTGATTGGGACAGCAGTTATCTGTTGGGTATGTGGAATAGTTATATATTTTTCGTAAATATATACTAATGTTTGATCTATAGGGTACCTGTGCAGCAATCATGGCGTCTTGCACTAATTTCGGCTCGCTCCTAGCCATACGTTTCCTCCTGGGCTCGTTCGAAGCTATGATCGCCCCTTCGTGCTTAGCCGTGACACAGATGTGGTGGAGGCGATCTGAGCAAACGCTCCGTGCTTCGTACTGGAATGCTATGAATGGCGTAACATTCATCGTTGGTAGTTTGGTAACGTATGGCCTCGGCCATGTCGCCAGTACGAAGATATATCGCTACCAGACTATCTTCATCTTTTGCGGTGTTCTCACTGTCCTTTTTGGAATCAACTTCCTCATATTCATGCCCGACTCGCCCATGGAGGCTAAGTATCTGAGCGAACGCGAGCGTAGCATTGCTGTCGAACGTTTGCGCGCTAACCAGATGGGTGTCGCGAGTCGACAATGGAAATGGGATCATGTTATGGAAACGTTTACGGATTTTAAGACTTTATTATGGTTTATCCTCATTGTCGCAATATCAATTGCAAGCGGAGGTATTAGCACATTTGGCAATCTTATCCTCAAGGACTTTGGCTTTACCAGCTTCAACGCAATTCTCTTCAGTATGCCGACGGGAGCAATTCAGGTTGCCATTATTATCGGATCGGCCTGGATCGCTACTAGGATAGGACGAAAGGGAATTGTTATCACGGGCCTTAGCTGTCTCCCAACAATCGGAACGATCCTCATGTTGACAGTGCCCCGAAACGAGAAGAACAAAGGAGTTCTATTGCTAGGCTACTATCTAGTTCAGTGCTTAGGAGCGATTACTCCTATGGTCTATGCATGGTCTGCGCAGAATACAGGGGGTGATACTAAGAAAAAGACCAGTTCGGCAATGATGTTTATGGGAATGTGTACAGGTTAGTTAAAGGCACAAAGCTCACGGCTTTCAGCTCTTTCACCTTCGACTCATCTCTTTGTTATCGGGGATACCTTGTCACATTATCTAACTCTCAATTAGGAAATGTCATTGGTCCCCTTTTATACAACACAAAGGATGCTCCATTATACCGCCCTGGTCTTATCGCCAATCTGGTCATGTTTGTCACAGTTGGTATTCTTGGGTTGTGCGTCACTATGACCTCACGTCCTCATACTCTGTTCTAATGTCTTGCTAACTAATGAGGTAGACTTATTCCGATGTACCTCATGTTCTTGAATAGATGGCATTCTAAGAAAAGGGAAGAGCTCGGAAAGCAGGGCAATATTATCGACGAGTCTATGGTGAGAAGAAAGGATATGCAGGGCAGTAAAGCCGTCGAGATTGAGCAGAACGAGCAGGCCACCAGGAACATTGAGGACGACAACGGCTTAAACGATCTGCCAGATCTAAAGAATGAGGATTTCATCTATGTATATTGACCTGGATCTGCAAATTTTCGTTATATGCCTAGAATATACATGCATCCTTGCGGCAGTTACCTTTTAGGAGCGTGTGCAAGGAAGGAAATATTGGAACTTTGTCAATTAACTTCTTGTTATGTTGATTTAAAAAGTATAATAACATTAACGGTAAACTGTCTCGTTCTGATCTCCACGCAATGATGATCGATTAAAAACAAGCCCTTTATCTAGTAAGATATTTTTATACCAACATTTGTCCTGATTCTTATTGTTGAGCATCGATTTCTGAAAGAGAAAATATAAGTACAATAGGCGACTTTGTAAGATAATTTAATTGTACCTATTCCATGGTTTCTTTACTTGTGGCCGACTCGCTGTAACCACAAAGATACAACATCTGGATAAAAGTAAACCTACATCCATGCCTCGTGGAAGTTAAAGAGATAATTCATACCCTTTGCTACATCACATTCTTTAAGTATACGAATACCAGATCAGACTACGTGGCAGGCACCACATCTTACTGGGGACTTTCAATCTCAGCTTCATACTAATAAAGCTTACTTTAGCTATAACTAAGAACTATCAAGTATTTGGACGCATATCTTGAAGATAAGTGCGATAAAAAGAAAAAGAAGAAAAGATAAATTAGCAAAAATGTGTTACGTCTACATAGTACGTAAATATATCTGCAACCACCAGGAGATCTCTCCAGACGCGCAGCAATGCGGCTTTTGTCTATTCGACCCGGGAGTATGCAACTCGACAGAGCTCGGGCGATACCGCGTTTGCTATGTCACACTAAACCAGTACTGCGGGCGGTGCCAGGGCGTCGCTAGCAGCATGGCTAATCACGCAGGGCAATGGAAGCCCGGCGCTCGGCGGCCTCAGGCCTCGTTGAGAGAGAGAAATAAGCAGAATGGATTAGTGAAAGCACTAAAGGAGAGCTCGAACACGCCCGGCAATGGACCCAACCCTAGGCGCGTGAGCCATCTCAACCTCATGATGCAGCGGAACCTAAAGGCAGCGCTCCAGCGCAGCGACACCTACGTGCCTCAGACATACGCTGATATCCTGAGGTACATCGAGTCTCTCCCGCGGTGGCTCAACCGCAAAGGGCTGGTCGCCTTAATGGAGCCCTGGTTCGCGCAGATGTTTGACGAGGAGCAACAGAATAGCCTGCGTCCCACGCTTAAAGCCGTGAATTGCGAGGGCATGCTTGAGAATGTCATGATTTGGACACAGGGTTGATTTACCAACGGGGTATCGAGGCAAATGTGAGGCAGTTATGCTCATGAATAATTAGTATGGAAGTAGACTGGTCTGGGTAAATGTTCAATAGCAATGATCGGGTTAGCATAGGAGTTGGGTAGTCTGTCAAAATGTTATCTATTATATAAAGATGCGGTTAATCATAATATATTAAGACCCAGATGTGCAAAAGGAGAGTTGATCGAAGTTGAATACCTAGTAAATCTATACATAGTGTATGTGATATATAGAGGTACTACTTTACTTAGGAAAGGCCTAAGACAAAGTTGAAGTGCATACACATACGTTACAAACGCGCAATGTTTTCAAGAGTATTTATACACATCAAATGATAACTTGGTCTGATTTAACCTAGAATAAATCAAGCGCTGGTAAACTTAACCAAAGCATATAAACTAAATTTAATCTAATAGTCCTATGGTAATTAAAGTGAGACTGAGAAATTGTACATACCTGTTAGATATGCTGCAAAGTAGAAACACTATAACAAAACTACTTTATAGTGGTCCAATGGTATGTTCGACAATACCTTTGTGTCTCGAGATTTGCTACGCATACGGGAAAGGCTATAGGCCTCTAAGAAGCCACTTCACCTGGTATCTGGTATTTAAATACTATTTGACTGGACAGGGCAAAGATTAAAAGGTATAAAGTGCGGAATAACTAGTAGAATATATTCAAAAAGCTCACTGTTGACTATAGAATACCTAGAAGTGTCACTCCGCGAGTATCGATGAAGACATATTGAAAGCGTAATAACAAAGTAGAGAGTCGACGTTCCCTTGTCCGCTTTGTACACTGGCGACACTTTAATTGATAAGTGATCTCCGAATGCATCTTGTTCAATAGCAACAAAGCGCCTCTCTTAACTACCTATATACGCAGGTATCCCCTCGCGCTAAATGTCCGCTTGCAGACAAGAGAATCGAACTTGACAAAACAAAGAAAGCAGAAAACATAAGTGGCATGCATAACAGATAGGTTGGCGGAACGATATATCGATACTCACTTAGGTATATACACCCGACATCCTCCAAGTCACAAGTAATAGCTTATCTTTCAGTTCAGACGAAAACCGCCCTCCCCCTATTTTTCACGACAATTAAATAAAAAACATGTCTACAGAGGAAGGACCTAGAAGAAACGCTCTTAGGCAAGCTAGAAGGAAGCCCAGAGCAAGAACTCTCAAAGGCGATCCGAACCACCCAAGCGTGCGATTAGCTAGGACCAGTGTAATTGATGTATATCCACCAAGGCCAGGGAGGATTACCTACAGGGAACAACGATGGGTTAAAAACAAAACCGTAGGCAATTTACGCCGTGATTGGGTAAAAGACGACAAAGTATTAGACAGGATAGAGGCGCTCAACTTACTCCGTAAGCAACTCCTTACAATCCCCTTTTCGTGGCCCAATACATACCTCTTACCCTTCCAATGCGAACTTCAGTTACTAACAAAGGCCATCAGAGTCCACACGTGACATGCCGATAGACCAAAATTGTTTAGATGTTTGCTTAGAGCAGTTTCAGAGATACCTATCACTATCTATTCAGGAAGACGTCACCATAATGCCAGCGACCAAGGATATTTTCGCTCTTAGTGATGAAGAATTCATTAAGTGGAGTGAAGAGGAACTAGAGCAAAATCAGAAAGTCAAAGCCCGTTTCATTGAACTTCGTTCAAAGCCGTACGTTTTCTGGCCGATAGACGCTAGTAAAGAAAAAAGTACCTCTCGCTGGATGGTAGCTGTTATCTACTCAACGCCGAGTTGGGATCAAGCTGACCCTGACAATCCCCAAGAAAATGAAAGACCATACGACCGGGTTAAAGAGATGGCCATCATAGACCCTTCGTGGAACGTTGACGATGGAGAAATGGCCGATAAAATTGTATTTAACAGGATCATCAGTGTCGTGGAAGAGTTAGGCATGGAAGTAGAGTCATGGATTGACACCCCAGTACAAATCTGGATCCCTCCACAGAATCAAGCAGGCGCGTCTCATGGGGACAAGGATTACGACGACTTTAGCTCCGGTTTACGGGCCTTCAGTAATATCAAAGAAATAATCGACCGCATATCGTGGGCTTATAGCAAGAGGCCTAAGAGATATGAGTATGATGCTGTATGGGGTGATTTAACTGGCTATTTCAATCCCGATCGCGTGCGTATGGAGATGATCGGCTTAGCATCAATGGCCGTGAACCGGGTCATGGATTACCGCACACGGGTGGCCATAGAGCCGGTATCAGATTTATTCATTGGGTTAGAGGAACGAGTGATCGATCCTCAGGCTTTGAAACCTTGGCAGGCACATCGATATCCAGAATGGAATTCAAGTGAACCCGGATATGATAAAGATGGGGATCACCGTTGTTGGAGTGACGACGAGATACATCAACGTCTTGTAGAGGCAGGTCGTGTAGAGGGCGAAGATGGGAATGAAAGTCAAGTAGAAGACCCTGAAAGAGGGGGTATAGGGGGGAAAAAAGAGGAGGCCAAACCAGATGAGTCAAAGGAGCAGGAAGAATTGGAGGAAGAGGATGAGGAGGAGGAAGAGGATGAGGAGGAGGAAGAGGGTGAGGAGGAAGAAGGGGGCGAGGAGGAAGAAGAGGAGGAAGGGGAACTAGAAGAGCCAGAGGAACTAGAAGAGCCAGAGGAGCTAAAGGAGCCAGAGGAGACAAAAGAGCTAGAGGAACCAGAAGAGCCAGAAGAACTAGAAGAACCAGAACTAGAAGAACCAGAAGAACCGGAGGAAGAGGGTGGGGAGGAAAAGAAAAAAGGGAGGAAAGAAGCCAAAGATAGGGAAGGGGAAAAGAAAAAGGAAAAGAAGGGTACTCGGCCAGTACCTCCGCACAGAGTCGAAAATGAGCTTGAAGATATACAAGAATTGCCAATTTCAGACCCTGACTCGGAGGATTCATTGCCCACTATTGAAGAAATCTTTTCTACTCCAAGAACGGGCACAAAGGTAAAGAGGAAGGACACTCCCGGTAACAAACCCTCTCCTAGTGTTGTCCATAACACGCCCGGCGAATTGAGTAACTTTGATGATAGTTCCATCGAAGTTAGCTCGAATCCCAGAATCCGAACGGATAATAATCAGGGGACTGGAGGAACGCCGGTAATAAAGATAAGTGGAAGAGGAAGAATAAGAAGGGGGGAAAGAAGAACGAATAGGGGGCAAGCGACGGTAAAAAGTACAAGGTCGGGAGTTGTAAAAGTTGTAAAACAGGAAGAGAAGACGTCAAGGCATGCCCAGGCTGTAACCCCAACTCCTCGGCCTATATTTGTAACCCCAAGTCCTCGACCCATACCAGTAGAAGAAGAATCTTCTGACAATTCGGATGTCGATCGAGCTCGTAAGAGGAGGTCTACTGGTTCTGAGGGCTTACTCGAAACGCCGCCCCGGAAGAGGTCTAAGACGTGATCGGACAGTCCTTGGTTTTGAATTAAGATGGCGATGACGGATTTATCGATGTCTGGTGGGTTGTATGGGAGGTATTCGAGATGGGATGGTTGAGAGTGTAATATTATATGAGGCAATCTGGTACATACATATCCTTAGAATTTCATTTAGTTTCAGTTAGTTTAAATCATTTTCAATTGAGGGAGTTTTTATCTAGCTATAATTATGATTGTTATCTACATATGTCCTAGGTGTAGATGTTATGTTGGGCAGTCATGCCGCAGCCTTGGACCTTGGTTCCTGGTCTTGAGATGGACGTCAACTTACAATACATAGGTACCTACCTTGTAACTCCTATATGTGCCTGCCCAAACGTTGTGCCTGCCTACCAATAATACCTCCTGCCACTCCGTTGAGGAGGTGCTCTTAACTTTATTTGAGCGCATTCTCTCGGCGCCGTGGTACGTGCTTGCCTCCTTTAAGAAAACACCACTATTGTCGACGACGTGATTGGGTATGCAGTCTAACAAATTAAAACGGATACCTGCTTAATAGTTTAGGAGGGAAGGTGCCCAGGACATTTTGATAGGGGAAATTTTTGAATAACTTGCTCAAATAGAGACTTGGAAGTTACACTGTGCATATTTTTATATATATGCACTTCCCCAAGCTGATCCCTAGGCTTCCACTAGAGAAATATATAAACATCTCCATTCTCCCATATTCCAGCTTAATCTCTTCTCTTCCATATCCACCATTCGTTCTCTTCACTTGCAATTTACCTCGTACCATTCCTTTACGCCGCTCGTTAACCCAATCCTAACAAAGATTCACACCCACAAGTTACATCATGAAGGTCGTCATCTCTGTTTTGATTGGCGCCTTGGGTGCTGTTAGCACTGCTATTGCCGGCGTCAAGGCCGCGACCATGGTAAGAAGTCCACTTGTGCTTAATATAGCGATGGTTCATGCTGACAGTTCTATGTAGGATGCAGTTGGTAGCCTTAACGTTACCTCCATCCTCCCTGAGGGATACACTGCTATTCCCTTTTCCATGGACGTTTCTCTTGAGCCTGGCGGTGAGGTGATGACTTTCAATGGTACAGTCACGGTATGTTACGATCATGCCAATGCCTTAACATGAATTTTGGGTTTAACATATCATAGGAGATCCTCGCTCAGATCCAGAGCATTAAGCCTGACTTCACCTGGGAAAACTACGGATCTGCCACACCTTCGACTGGAGTTTCCAAGTACAAGCGAACCAAGGTAAGCATCTACGAGATCTTTAGAAAGCCTTTGATATTGACATATGTCAATAGTCTAAGATCCTTTGCAACATCCCCAACCACGAGCACGGACTACGATATGTTCTTTTGTCAGGTTATGACTTCTTGAAGAATATCCACACAGATTGCAAGATCGATGCAGGACCCAAGAAGTGCGCTATGCTCTATTGCATGATGGGCACCTCGATTTGGATGTGCAATGACAACAGTACTCCCATCAGTCGAGACTGCGCCTACATCGCCACCTATGTCTTAGATATCATTGGCACCGAAAACTGCCAATCCCGAGGCAGTATGGGACCCACGACTTGGACTCAAGGACAGGAGTTCGACACAGACAACTTCAATGTCATTGCGGGTGGTGGTGGCTGCTCGTAATAGTCACGATAGTTGGGTTGTGGTTACCGATGCAGATGGTCAACAACTTTGCCTTTACGATATTACCGCACTGAACTAATTCTTTTGGTCTGCGCTGCTAATGCTTTGAGTTGAGATGATAATTGAACGATAAGGGGTTAAATTACTGTGAGAGAATCTAAAAGGATCTCTCTTATGAGGTACACTATCAGCTTTAGCTACTTTCGCCCGTTGATTTCTACTCGAGCCTATGTCCGCAAAATAGAGACTTGACTTATTGAGTTACATATGAATCGTCCTGGCCATGCTCTATCGTAAAATAGACCCAGTACAAAATAATTCTTCATGGATTCCCATTTTAGGCTGTCTAGAGTTTCATTGAGGTCACCTCGTTATGTTTATGGATCCAGTATGGATCTGGTCATCAATCAAACACCATTTTGCTTCTTTACAGGGTCATATCCAGGGCGCCTTGTAGGACTCGTACCTAAATGTTCCCAAAAATCATACATCCATAATCCCTTGTAAATAAACGTATAGTGCGTTAGGAGAGAGAGGGACACGCAAACTTCAAAGAATTAGGTAGTTATGAATCCAAGTAATTGGCGTCTAAGTATACATCTGCACCGTATCCTGCCCCAATGGTGTTATGTAACTGAAAAAGCTAAGCCCAAATTGCTTCACTAACTATAAGCCTCTGGGTATTCTAATGATAAGGGATGAGTGGTGTGGAGCGACATAGAATATGGGTTAAAAGATAGGACAAAGAGGTCACGATGCGCTCTCGGTACGAAAACATGTAGCTCTTTGTTTAGAACTGCTAGGGTAATCTTAGGGACATCCTGTACGTGGATAGTCCTTTTTCATCTGGACTTGTGCACTAATTAGCCAGCGCTTAATGGGTTATACCTACCTAAGCGTGCCTTGTTACGCGTCTAACGATCTTCATTTGGCAAGAATAACATATTATTACCTCTCCCTAAAATAGGTACATTCATATACCATCAAAATGAAAGTCTAGTAAGGCCTACAAGCGTTACTTGAAAAGATGACTGTCTATCACCAACACTACGTGCCGCGACGCGGGTATAACTTTAGGGGGTAGGTAGTCATCGGCAAGCTAAGTGGCGTGACTGGACGAGCATGCGTGTGCAGGTAACACAGCGGCAACGAGCGCGGCTATGGTGGACCATTAGTGCAACTGTGCCAAAATCAATAAAATAGGTTAGAATTTTCCAAAAAGGGTAATATAGCAAGGAACGCTAAGTGCACAGTACACTATGCGGGGTATATACAAGGTAAAATATAAAGGATTGCCTTATACACAACATACAACACATTCAAATAACTTTACAATGACAACAATCCAGACCTTACGATTGGTATTGTTTTATAGCCTTAATTAATGCGAAAATAATGGACCAAAGTGCATGTTTATGCGATGTATATTGAGTATTATATTGCTATTAAAGTATCTGGAATCTGTTTGGAATGACTTTATCGAGGTGCTTTTAAAAGGTATCACGTGCTTGCCTCTTTAGGTAGATAAGCGCTATTTGATTTTACTACAACATAACAGCCAAAAGGCCAATTCAAATGCAACTTGGATTGTTGTTTTCGCATCAATTAAGGCTATAAACCGATACCAATTGTAACGTTTGAATTGTTGTTTTTGTAAAGTTATTTGAATGTGTTGTGTGTATAGGGCAATTGAAGATTGAATTGACAATGGAATCTTTTAATTTGATTGGTTAATGTTGGAGATTAGTGGGGAGGATAGGTAGCCTGGATATTAATGCTTAAGCAATCTGATTGGTTAATTTTTTAACCTTGAGAGAAAGCGGTCCGTATAGTTACGTTCATAGCCTTTTTAATATCTTTACCAGTATTAGGCCAAATTAAATGCAATTTGGACCATAATTTCTGTTATTTATCAATTGAAATATCAACGCTTTTTAGAAAGAATTTGGATGAATATTCGTAAAGTTATTGTATTATTAGTTTTAAAAAAGGTATGTATTACCTTGTAAATTGTGTATACAGGGCAAATAATCGAGCCTATACTGTACCTTTAACGTTACTATTACCCTATTAGACATAGTGCCACCAATTTTCTTGATTTTGGCACAGTTGCACTAATGGTCCACCATAGCGGCAGCAACTGGAACAATACCTCATCCAAAATGGACATTAGGGGAATAAGTTTCTCTACACCCCCTCCCCTCCCCAGCTCCCGACACCAGCAGCACCGTACGAGGAGAGATATTTCTCCGGTCCTCAAGACACCGGGGATAATCCCCGAGGAGACATGACCCTGACCATGTGGAATGCGCGGGTTCACCTGTGCGACGACGTGCAAGCAAGTAGCCTGCGCGGATGGGTGGCTGCTGGCGATGCGGCTCGGTGCGCCCCTACCGGTGCGACGCTGGGTACCTAACCTAAGGTAAGTAATGATTTAGTAATCAGTAACGGCTGGCTAGGCGCGATAGAAATAAGTTACATAGCCCGTAACGTTCCAGAATTCTTCTATGTCTGTCGTTCGGCTTCGCCTTGACAGGGGGGGGGGCCGAGCTCGTCTGCCGGATGTCGGGCCGCTGGATACAGACATTTTGAGATGTAACCGACGTACCGATTTGAGTTCATATACGCGCGTAAAATTTACGCCCTGGATATATGTAAAAGCTAGGTATGTCGTGTTCGTGTGTTCGTGTTTTCGTCAGCAGAGCCTCAGATTACATAATATTCAATGATAGGCTGGGTTACTTCGTAGTTACATATGTGCAATAGTAGCATAGTAGCATCTTATCCACGTGACTAGAAGCACCGTGCTGAAAATAGGGCTGCAACAAGATACGCACCGTACTTGCCTAACCTTCAAGCTTCAATTCAATTAGGTACCTAACCTTAGGTACTCATCGCCTCAATTCGATGGCTCAGCACTAGGCGTTTAAGTCATCATCTCTCTTTCTTTACCTCATAAATTTTATAATCTACTTTAAGCAACTGTTTCATCCCATCTCTTTAATTTTGGAAGATTTTCAACATGGCGCAGGCCCCAAAATGGCATCCGTTGCCGACATTTCCAAATCTCCCTGCTCTCATGATCTCTCTGCAGTCTGCTTCTTCATCGTACACACTTCACGTTACCGATCTCGCCAACGTGTGGGCAGAAAGCCTTGACAGAAAAGGTATAATATTGCGAAGCCTGCAAGAGAACACAAGCATAGATTTGAGTGACGGCGATCCTAATCAGTGGACCGTCTTTTTCTCTAAGCTTGACGCAGCCTTCGATCCTACGTCACCAGACCACCATACGACCAGCCTTAGTATATCCGCCTCGACGGCAGGTACCACGTCTGGAGGTGGTCTGGCTCTTCACGTTACATGCGTGCTACCCGAGCCGCTCAAGCCGCTCAAGTGGCCTGTCTATTTGACAAAATGCCCACCTATTGGCCTAGCCTCAGAGCTTGTCTTACCTCTCATCCAAGCCCACCATGTACGTACGTTGGAGGTCCAGGATCTCATAACGAGGCTCAAGGAAAAAGACGCTGTCATCACAAAGCTTGTCGATAAGCTAGAAGCCAACAAGGTCGGCTTAGAGTATGTCTTTAATTCTCTGTCCACCAAGCGTAAGCCGTCCCGGGCGGTTGCCGAGGAGAAGGTCAAAGGCCTAGCAGCTTTCAATGAATCTGAATGGAAGTCGAGTGTCACTGCGAACCAGGAGCTTCCCCGGGACCTGTCGTCCCTGATTCGCGAGGTTTTTGCGGAAACAGGGTTGCGTAGTAGTGTAAATGCAGAGATCTCCCCCTCCAGTCAGCTTAATGACTGGTGGACGAAGCTGGGCTCGAGCCCAACTACCGCTATCAAACTCCGGAAGGAAACCGTTAGGCAGTCACGAGAGACCCCTCCTCTAGATACTAAGACAAGTAGGGAAGGGGATGATGACGACTTTCAAGTGCAGGCCACTCCGCCCCATCTACAGTCAATTAGGCGAAAATATGATTACTCTAGAGCCGCTGGTGATACTACAGATGATGACGATAGCCCTGTAGAGATTCCCGATAGCCATCCCACTGTGGCGCAAGACAAGCCTCGTTCCCGAATCGGTGCCGTTGGCGGCAAGAAGCCCGGCAAAGATAACCCAGCTAGCCAGTCTTCTCGCACTGTCCCTATTGATGATGACGAGACCCCATCGGAGTCTGACACAGAACCGGTGCCACCAGAACCCCAAAGGCGGCAAAATACCCGGCTAGGGACCATTGGCAAATCCAGAGAGCCATCGTCTCCTCTAGCAAAGTCTTCATCTCCTGTACCACCACCACCACCACCCAAGGACGGAGATGAAACGGCATCTGGCTCGGATTACGAGGATGACGCCGGACCATCCAAAGCCCGGTCTCCTTCAACTGTCCCGACTGAGAGGAAGAGGGTTGGACTGGGGCAAATAGGCGGTAAGCCTAAGACTCGAGTGACACCAGAGCCGTCTGAGGAACCGAATGTAACATCCCCCGGGACAAGGAGCCCTCAAGCCACTACAAGCCCGGCAAGGCCCGCGAGTCGAAAGATTGGGACCATCGGGACGAGATTTGACGCGGATAGCAAGAGACACCGCCCGTCGTCGCCTGTCACAGCACCAGAGCCCGAGACGGAAGAGCAGAGGACAGAGCGCAGGCGGGCGGAATTAGCGAAAGAGCTTGAACGTAAGGCGACTGCACCGACGAAGAAGAAGAGGAGGTTTTGATTTACATTCCGATGGCTACATCAGCAACATTCGAAATCGATACCCATATTGTCATCGCGTTGAGATTGAATACCACATGTTCACTGAACATACTACCCAGAACCACTCTATTACATATTTGTTCAAAGGATGTCTATGTTATTTCAAACACATATGATGTTGTAAACTTGCTGGCGCCTATGAATATACCCCCCAGATATAACTTGCAGCTTAATTCATCCACTCAAACCTTCAGGGGGATCACGCCCATACCCTAGATCGCATTATTAAGACGTCTCATCGCAAGTGGGTTGAATGAAGAATAAAGAAAGCGGAAAGTCGACACAGTTTGGCATTATGCAGCAAATTTACAAAGTTGTACCAGGAACCAAAAATCTACCGTTCTTCAACCCGAGAGCAGTATATTAAATCCACGCTCTCTATGCTCTTACTATCTTTTAACTGCAAGTAACGTAACTCTCTTCCGGTGCGGTATAAACACCGGAATAAAAAAAGACTCACTATAGCACACCTATCGTAAATTATCTGGCTAGACCAGTTGCGGTAGGTGAAGTTAACCAATATAGGCATATGCAGTCTGAAGTTACGTAGATATTATCTTGTCACACTTTACCGACGTAAGATCACTATACAGAAAGCAAGGGATGCAAAATTCCCCGCGAATTGCAAGAATATGGTATAGCCCCTACGATAGCAATATGTCGAAAATGGCTCTTCATTTCCTAAATAGCTCCATCTGCGTCGAGATCGCCTTGACGGTCAACCTTCAGGGCATGATTGCGACGACTAGCCATTACACCCCGCGATTCCTGGGGGGCAAAGCAGGTCTCTGTCTTCCCTCACGTTCTACGGCATACGTAGAAGGCTATGATGCTAGCTAGAAATGGGTATCCACTTCACGATCTTGAAAGGAGGTGATATGAAAGCCAAACCCATGTCACAAAGCAGTAGAGGCTAGCGTGGGAAACTAATAACTGTCTGTCTGTGGAACGACTAGACGCCGTGTAACTTGTCTAGCCCTTCGCAGACTATGAGTAATTCGCTCTGGCCAGTCACCCTACTACCAGCTCAATGCAGATTCTTTCTGAGCCATGCCGTTAGTTTACTTCCTTGAGGCACAATACTTCGCAAGTCTACTGGTACTTTGACAACCTAGTACGGGTAGAATGGAGAGAGTATTTACTACGTACCGCGCAAAATGAGGGAAATTGAGGCACTCTGAATTACCACTGCCCTAGTCGACGTTCCACAAGACTAGTCCTCTCGAACAGCAGTGTCCACACGTATCTCTGTGGTGCATTGATATGGGAGACAGACAGACAGGCATTATCTGAGAGGAGGAAAGGAGTCGTTGTACACAGCACTGCCCCTGACCGCTCCCGTTCTTCTGTTTTCGCCCCGAAACGTGGACAACCTCTCCTTTGCCACCTTTCTGCTACGGCTTCACGGTACAGATCTACGGTAGAGGCTTTGTGCTAGGGGTATCGCTGTCTCGGAACTTTTCGGTAGCCAGCGAACCAGTTAGACGACTATGTCACTACTATGGGCTGTGAGGTGTAAATACCTAGGTACCTACGTATGTGCGACGAGCCACCGATCCTGGTGCTGTCCTCCGCCTCTTTGCCGTGCGTTGGGATCAGGCAGTGCTATGCTATGTTATGGGGATAATCGTGCTACGCGCTGTCAAAATCGCGCACGGGCTGGGAACTTCGCTGTTAGGCTACCTACCTACCTAGGTACCTAGCCCTATAATAGGGAACCCGCAACATCTACCCGTTCCCCTAATAGGGCTAAATTGGGCGTTTTGAGAGCCGAACGCGCTGCACTAATAATCTGGGTACTGGGCTATGCCGTCTCTGTCGGTAGACCAGAACAGATTTTCAGTGATAAGTTCCCTGTCTATGTTGAATATCAACCGGGACCAGGACCTATTGTCACTGTTTCTTGGTGGGTCGGTATCTCTGCCGATGATACACAGGGATGTCCCGATGTAATAACTGCTATCCTGGCCTGGGCATCCCGGACTGTTGAAAGAGTATTGTACACCACTGAAAGTTAGGGATTTGATACGTGCGTATGTTGTGGGTAACGGCGACGATGATGATGCGCTTATTCATAGAAGCCCCCAATGCTCAGGTATGTCAGGTATTGTGCCTAGATATAGCATTGCTGCATACAATTATAAGCAAAGTGTCACGAACCTAGCCAGCCACGTGGCCCTCACGAAGAAAGCACTGTTGGAAGTAAATACTCATCGCCATACGACTAACTGGGAATGTTTAGGGGCTTAAACAGTTAGGCTAGACGCTAATTACGGCCCTGGAATTTCTAACAGCGAGGTAGGAGAGCCTATCCTGGCATCCCCAGAGCCGCTAGATCGGCCCTTTTAGTGCCATGCTATATACAAGCCACCACGCTTCTCCTTACATAAGTCGTAATTACATACATACAGGGAGGGATGTACAGGAGCTCGCTAGGAGAGCCGGGTAAACGTACCTAAGGTACTTGGTTAGTTAGCAGTTAGGTAGCTGCTAGTAATTACCTAGCCCTCGCAGGCCCTCCTCCGTACACACTAAGCCACCCTATGAGGCTCCTAAGACGGTATCACCTCCATACGGGCCTAATTACTAGGCTGAGATCGAGGGGGCGAGGAACTGATGGGACGAGTAAGAGCAGCTATCAGGAAGATTTTAAGTACATATAGCCGAGGCTGATCACACAGTACATAACGTGAGTTTTTACAATTCTCTTTTTCCTCGTTACACAGCAGAAGGTTGGATTGTAAAAGGAGGATAACTTCTGCCAACAGCCTTTTTTTCATCCTTTCTAAGAGCGTGAAAGAGGAGGATGGGGTAAAGAAAGGGGGCGGTGGTGTGGGCTTGCCGATGGATAGCACGCGTCCAGCCCCCATGACATTAGAATACCTAGGCAGAGTAGTAAGATTCATTGGATGGTGAAAATATGGAGGCTCTGCGGGGAGATACTAGCTACTGTCATGGGGGATTAAGGGGTGAGAGTTGATCACTTACACTGGTATGCCATAATCAAAGCGACTTTTAACTGCCAAAATGTATTATTCATTCTGCAAGTCTTTTAATCCCGTTCGTACTAACATAGCTAGAACTCATTGAATCGTCGGTATATTACCCACAAAGATCATTTAATTCATTTAATATGATTGTAGATCAGTCGTTTTTGTTTTCGTTTTCTATTATACCTATGAGTGAAATCAAAAGCGTGTTAAGCAACTAATAACACGTTAGCGCAACAGCCACATCGTATTGTATTAGGTTGAGTTGCAAATCTGCCTATTAACTAACGTAGACGATTGGAAACCACAAATGTCTAGTAGCTATCTCCAACGAGTAGCAAGACAATTCATGAGGAGTTCTGGGAACACTGAGAGCCGCACAGCTCCCTGGAGGCTAACCGTATTACCCACAAGGCAGACAACTACTAGCCCTAATTCTCTAGGCTAAATTAGCTATGACCAGGTGTTCGGCAACCCCCTAGTTATACGTATATTTTAGCGTCACAAGCCACCAAATATCAGAATAGCAAGATTTGTTGGTAGCAAGGTTCAAGAGACGATTAATTAGAAGAAGATATTACACAAGTATCACTATGCAATTTGATATAATCTTAGTTTAGACAGTAAGGACTAGCGATTAATTAATTAAGTTTAACTGGTCCATCTATATATCAGTAGAAACAAGCATTAGAGACGGTCAGCTCGTGAATTACAACGAAGAGGAAGATTAGAGCTTCAAGTTTAAAAACATACTGTACTATAATTAAAATGGCTTAGTAGGACATACCCTATTACACTTTCTCCCCGTAGATTTTAACCAGTCCTTATCTCACCCCAACAAGCAAAGGCGCTTCGCGTATCCATAGCGGCCTTCCGAGCAAATGAGCAAGCTAATACGTGCCTAACGGCTCCCTTTGCGGCTCTAGCTAGGGCTTATTATATATCACCTACAGCACGGAGGGCCTATCTGCTGCAGAAGAAGAAATGCTGGGAAAATTAGCAAGAAAACACGCAATTACAGATGCAGCACTAGAGCTAACCGGCCGACTCGACACATTAGGCTGCCTATTATCTTGAGCTACGGCAGCTAGCACTGGCTATTTCGATCCCGGGCTCCGGATTGGAGATATAGCGTTGATTTCCATCGTCCTTATAGATCTGGTTTATACCGTCGACTCTAGCCTCGTATTACGTTTCTTAACGAATAGGGTATTAATACCCCAGAGCTAATGGCCGTAGGATTTAATCCATGGGATACCCCGTATTCTAACTGACTACTAATAGGACATGACCTCTTACCTCGACAAGGCAGACGCGATACTCATTGCGGTAACTGATGCGCAGGAAACTGGTTTCCCAAGCGAGCATTAAGTAAGCCAAGACACCTAAGAGATACATAGCTGACGGAAATGTCTACGACAAGTCGTCTGAGAAGACGCCACAAAAAAAGAGGGCAGCGAACCAAGACTGGGGGGAGGGGATAGAACGGTTCGCATTTGTCCTACGCTAGACAGGCCACGACAGATGTCATCGAGGGCTGATGTTACGTGAGTGATCGCGGAATTTACATGTCAAAGAGGATGGTTCTACAGCAGTTCCACCCGAGGTCTAATAATGCAGAGAACATACATACATACCTACCATAACGGAGGAGGAAGGTTTGGGAAAATAATTCTAAAACTGGAATAGTTTCGTATGGCGTAACGTTTTTAGGTTTTAAAAACTTTAATTGGTTAAAATTTAAAGTTAATAAATCTCGGTTCCATTTTTAAAATCTTATTTTACAAAAACCGTTTTATAATTGTAAAATTATTTTATTTTATATAATCGTTTCCATTTTGGAAACAATTGCTTAACTTTTAACTTAAAAAAAAAAAAAATTTTATAAAAATTTCGAAAATTTTTTTTTATTTTTTTTTAAATTAAAAGTTTACTTTTTTCGAAATAAAAGTTATAAGGTTTAAAATTAAAAAAATTTTTATTTTAAAATAATTTAATAAAATTAACTACTTTATTTTATTAATTTAAACGTTAAACTTTAAACCTTATAATTAATTGTAAAATTTATGGTTATATAAACGTAAAAACTATAAATTTAAAAATTAATCTTTTTAATTTTTTTAACTTTTTTTACCTTTACCTTATTTTTCCATATAAAAATTACGTAAAAGTTACGTAAATAATAAAATTGTTTTATTTTATAAAATTATTTTATATTTTAAAATTATTTTATAATATTAAAATGTATTAAATTAATTTTATTGTTTTTATTATATAAAATAATTTTTATATATAAAATCATTTTCTTAAACTTTTTTTTTTTATTATAATATGTATATGCATTTTTTTTCCGTGAAATACTTGTATATTTATTATAATAAAAAAAAAAGTTTAAAAAAATAATTTTAAAATTAAAATAATTTTGTA